GCATTCCTTTGACGTAGCCGGGGAGAACAAGAACGAGTATACGCATGCGTATACGGGACATGCACGTATATATATATATATATATGCATGTCGGTCCACAACAATATACTAACGAGTGAATTTTTCATGCATTCTCCAATATTTTCTTGTATGCTTCAAGACATACGTAGCAACATGAAGCAATATAGACCGGTTTACAACAACGTATATTCTCGTCCTTGTTCATCGTCTTCTTCGAAACTGTTTCGGTTTATCTTCTTTCTCTCGTCTTTATGCTTACCCACGACGGCTCACACCAAGTTTGATCCCAAACCATCGAGGAACAGGACTTGTCCTGCGTTGTTAGTCTTCGGGGATTCGATTATAGACACCGGAAATAACAATGACATCATGACGGTAGTCAAGTGTAATTTTCGTCCCTACGGTATAAATTTCCCAAACGGAGTTGCTACCGGAAGATTTTCCGACGGAAAAGTTCCCTCCGACATCTTAGGTGGTTATATATACACTCTTATATATGTTGTTCCTTTTCTCTGTGTTTTCTTATACTATCAGAATATGTATCCGGTTATATCGGTTTGATTTAATTGGTTCGGTTTGGTTTGATTATTTCTTATTGTTTTGTTAGGGTTGGTTTACATGTTTTTTCCTCCTTTTGTCTCTCTTTGTAGTTAAGGAATTTATTCACACAAACAGGTTACTTGGTGATAACATTGATAACGTGAGAATACGGACTAAGAAATTTGAGGAAGTGTAATCGTTTGCATGCATAGCATATAATATTCCATGGTGCATCATGCAAAACGTAATATTGAAATGTGAAATAATTCAAACGATAATTAGATTTTAGGGTTATGAATTTGTTTTAATAAGAATGAAATAGGCGAAATGGAAGAATTAAAGCCCGCAATAATGTTATTTTAGAAAGAAATAGCCATCAACTTATAATATTTTTTATTAAAGTTTTGGGAAAACAATTTTAGACCATATTCCATTTTTTTTAAATGCATCAAACCCAATATTTTTAAAATTATTTAAAATAATCTCTCGTTTGTTTTTTTTTTTAAAATTTCGCAGCGGAATTATTGGGAATAAAAGAAACCCTACCAGCCTATTTGGACCCGAAATTAAAACCGGAAGATCTGCTAACCGGCGTGGTCTTCGGTTCTGGTGGTTCAGGATTTGATCCTTTGACTCCTGTTTTATTGGTACGTTTCGTTCCCTCTCCCTACTTATCTTTATAATTTAATATTACTTTTCTTTTCCACGTCTTTTTTTCGTTACAATTTCATATTAGTATTTATTTATTCATTTTTATTCGAAACCAATCTAATGGACGATCTATAGCCAATTAGCCATTTGATCTTATTTGAAAAACGTGAATAATAATTTATTTTAAAAAACCATTGCACCTTCTTATATATACATATAGTTTAGTAGTATCACGTCAATTAAAATACGAACATTTTAAAATACTTATGGGTTTACACAAAGATCTAATCATCTACTCTCCGAAATTTTAATTCTAATGTAAATTTAATAGAAACTCGGGCTAATCATCCTAATAATTAATTTGGTCCATCTGGTTCTGTCTTTGCATGATTCGCAAAAAAAAAAAAAAAAAAAAAAAAAACGTTTTGAATATTGAATTGCATCGCACTGAGCTCTCTCGACGGGATAAATCGGTGATATCAATGACGAACCAATTGAATTATTTCCAAGAGTACAAGGAGAGATTGAAGGGAATGTTGGGTGAAGAAAAAGCGAACGCTCGAATAGCAGAGAGCTTATTCTTTGTCGTCGCCGGAAGCGACGATATAGTGAACACTTACTATGGATTCCAGACACGGCGCTTCCAATACAACCTCGGCGATTATACCTCTTTCTTGGCCGACTCTGCCACCAGTTTCGCTTTGGTACGTCCTCTCGATTATTAATTTTTTTATTCATTACGATATGAAATATTTGAATACGGGATTAGTCGTATAGTTGAGATCCTCTCATGATGAGGATATTGAGAAGTTGATTCATTCGTTGCCTTCATGCTTATGCAATATTTGTGTAAGACGGTTACATTATGATGATGTAATGCTTATGTGAGGAGGAATATAAATTTGAATTTATGCGTGTTAGGTGTGATCGGAAAAAAATAAAAATATGTTAGGTGTGATTGATTTATAAGGTGGTGAAGATGTGTGGTTGAGATGAAAATAGTAGGTTTAAAGTTTTAATATAAATGAAAGATCTTATATAAATTTTTTTTTATACAAAGTATTTCTAAACATTTTTCTTTCTTTTCATATTTTGATATTTCTTTATAAATTCTAAACATAAATACTACAAATCTTCGATATTTTTTTTTATATTATGCATTAAAGAAGAGAATATAAAAAAAAATTATGAATGATAATATAATACAAGATTCGTAAGAGAGGATATAATGATATAATCTTCATTTATTTTTGTTAAAATAATGTAAAAGGATTCATATATTAGGAGTGGTTACCGATATAGTACATGCTCTCACACAATAGGTTTGGTGTACCACAACTTGCTACTTCTAATCGTATCCTAGGGTCTCGGGTATTTATATCAAAAAAATTATTTAAAAATCGATAAAAACAGAAAAAAAACATATAATACTGAAAAAAAAGAGTTTGATATCCCAAAGATTGAGAGGATCCAAACATGTACCTTTGGACAAGAGGGTACATATAGGAATATATATATCTCCTTCACAAATGCACCTAGGTATCCTTAGATATCCCTCACTGATTTTTAATTATTTATATTCGTATTTGTAGACGGATAATAAAAAACCCGTCTTGTACCAAAAAAAAAACCAAATATCCAAAACCCGGATACTAGAAAAAACGGGTATGCAAATACCCGATTTTTGAGTATTTATGTAATCTTCTTGTACTGTTATTATTATTCGTGTTATTATAAGGATGTAATTTAATTCATATAGTAAACTAAAAGTAGTGATGATTAATGGTCTAAGCAAATCGACAGCAACTGCATCAGTATGGAGCAAGATACATAGCCATTGCAAGTTTGCCACCAATTGGATGCCTGCCTTCGGTTAGAACCATAAGAGGAAAATTCGGTAGAGATTGCTCGAAGCTCCTCAACTTCGCAGCTCAGCTTTTCAACTCCAAGCTCTCTACAAAGGTGGATGCTTTGTCCAAAACCTTACCGGAAACCAAATTGGTGTACATTGACGTCTACACTCCGATGATTCAGATGGTGAAATTCCCCGAAAAATACGGTAACTAACTTTCCATTCCCGGTTATCTATATAACGATATATAGTAACAGATCCAAAAACAATTTATAAAACGGTTAATAATTTTATACAAATAATTATGGGGTCATTTAAAAATTATAATTATAATTTTATAAAATTTATAAAGAAATTAATTTTTTTTAGTTAATTAAACATGGGGAGGTGACTCCACCCGGTTGTTAACTTGGATTTAACCCTAACGATATAGTTTTTTTTATAATTCGAAAGTTCACCGTGCCTTTAACTCAACTACATCTCTTAAAAGAATGAAGAAGTCTATATGGAGATTCGAACCTGTATTGGAAATGAGTTTTGCTACATTCGTTACCAGTTGAACCGTACAATCTTAAATTCCTAACTTTATAGTCATAAGAATGTAATCGGAATTATGTACGTTAGGTTTAATGTTTTGTAAGAATATAATCGTACATGAAAAACCCTAGTTAAACCTAATATACATAATTACAAATACGCGATTATATCCTTATAGTATGTAGGCTTAGAGAGATATCGGTTTCTTTCTTCACTGTACAAGTGACAAACTTTGGGGTCGGAATTCTGCAGATTTCGAGGTGGCCGACAAGGGATGTTGCGGAACGGGAACCGTCGAGACAGTTGTGTTGTGCAACCATTTCACCTCGTACGTGTGTAGGAATGTGTCCGCTTACTTGTTTTGGGACAGTTATCATCCCACTGAAAGAGCTTATAGGATTCTAACTAAAGAGCTTATCGACAAATATTTCACCCGTTTCTATGATTAGTAATTAATTGCTTACAGTGTAGTAATTGTGTAGTTTTTTTTTTAATTTTACTTGAGATAATTTTCATGGTCGATTTTAGTTTATATTTTTGTTTCTTGATTGTGACCTTTACTTTCTAGCCAAATTATTAAAGATCTATCAAATTTGGAAACCGTCTTGCTCCGGATCCTATATATCCATTTCTATTTGTAAAATTTACTCATAAATTTAAATTTTTTGTTCACTCTGTTCATTTAATCCTGATTTTGAATGTTATTGGTTAATTCTCTAAAATAATATTGAAAAACAAAAAAAAATTAAAAATATCTTTAATATTATACTATTCGTCAAACGATTCTAAGAATTTCCGAACACCCGAAACCAATACTTCTGTAAAATAAAATTGAAAATAGTCTCTAGAATTTTAATATGATAAAAACAAATGTCACTCTAAGTCAGAACCTGAGATTGCTGAATCAATTGAGAAATAGAATCGAGAATGACACCAGCGAGTTAACGAGTTCGGATTCAGTGTGAATCCACCTTCCAATTTTCCTGTCATGACTTTCTGAGACTCTCTAAAACACTTCTAGTGTTCCATTCTGAGATCTGTAATTCATGCCTAGATTGTCTAGGGACCCAAGAGATAAAAGGTTTCTCTTTAAGTCAGGAACGTATCTGACTTGACTTAGTATCTTTATTTTCCCATCATCAAGTCTAAGTTTTACCTCTCCTATACCTCTTACCTCACAGCAACCATTGTTGCCCATGAGCACTTTTCCTCCATTCAGTTCCTCTAGCCTGAGGAACCAACTTTTGTGGGGTGACATATGAAATGTACATCCCGAATCCATTATCCATTGGTCTTCTGGACTTTGCTCGGATACTGTCAAAACCTCTGTTTCATAGTCCTTCCCAGATACATTAGCTGCATCCCCAGTTTTCTTTGCCTGTTCTTCCAGCCATCTTTTCTTGTTTCGACAATCTCGTTTAAAATGACCTTCTTTGCCACAGAACTAACATCCTATTTCAGATTTCTCAGATTTCTCTGGCTTCTCCTTTGGTTTTGACTTTGAAGACTTTCCTTTATGAGCTTTATAGTCCTTCTTACCTGGTTTTCCTTTTGCAACCAGACCTTCTCCTGAATGTGGTTTTCCTCTTGCTTTGTACTCGAGTTCCTTTGTAATAATTGCGGAAGTTACCTCATCAATGGAGAGATCGTCCTTTCTAGAATATTTCAGAGTATCCCTTAGTTGCTCATATCTCTCGGGTAACGAGTTGAGCAAATACATGATATGATCTTCCTCAGATATTTCCACCTGTAGGTTTCCAAGATCAGTCACTAGCTTTCTGAAATTATCCAGATTATCTTCTATAGCTTTGCTTTCTTCTATCCTGAAGCTATATAACTTTTGTTTCAAGTACATTTTGCTCGGAAGAGACTTGTTTAAGTACTCCTTTTCGAGTGCCTTCCACATTCCTGATGTTGTTTGCTCGTTCTTCACCTTCCTCATGATTTGATCTGTCAAACAGAGAAAGATGAGATTCCTTACTCTCCTGCTCTTTTCATATCTTGAATCATAGAGACCTGTCTGATCTTTTGATTCCTCTGAGCCCTCTCTTCCCCCTTTCTCTATCTTGGATTCCTCTTCTTTGTCACCTTTTGTTCTTGTTGATCCTTTGATAAGGTATTCCTCATCTAAGACTTCATGGAGCCTCAAAATCTCGAGACTCGCTAGCACCTTATCCTTCCACAAAGTGAAATATGTTTTTCCGTCATATTTCTCGACATCCAGCTTTACCACAGTAGGTCCTGCTGCCATTGCTGACAAAACCCGAGATTCAGATTCTTGAGTCTGCGTCAAGATATCTTTCTTCGGCGAGAGACTTCCCTGTCTCCAACCAAATCCTCGGTTGAGCTTATGAATTCTTGAACTGCATCAAGATTCAATCCAGCGAGAAACCTCCCTGTTTCCAACCGGACTCTGATACCACTTCTCACTCTAAGTCAGAACCTGAGATTGCTGAATGAATTGAGAAATAGAATCGAGAATGACACCAGCGAGTTAACGAGTTCGGATTCAATGTGAATCCTACGTCTCGGCCGAGAGAGCTTCGGCAATTAACTATTGTGACTGAGTTTTACAACACCGATCGATCTCTCACAAAATCGAGAGTCGTCGAATCTTCTGGAAATCCAAGATAAAGAACCCAGAAAGAGGAAGAAAAATTTGAACTGCTGAAGGAGACGATCTGCAACTCTGTTTATATATGGAGCTGGATCAACGACCTCCACCTTCAAATACGCCGTCGTTTCTGAGTTAATTAAAGGCAGTGACTAAACGCTGCGTCCCGGACTGATTCCTTTGCGATATCCAATCATTTCTGGTTTACCGGTTAGTTTGAACCGGAACCTTCCTAATGAGTCAAAGTCTTTCTTTCCTTAGGCAAAAATTCAACAACAAATAATAGAGAAATATAAAAATAGATAAGATATATAAAGATAAAATAATGTTAAATTTTCCATTTTTCGTTGCATTGTTCCATACATCGACGAATAGAAATCTACAAACCTGCAAAATTTTCTTCTTAAGGTCAATTATATATATATATATATATATGCATATATATAATTGGAATATATTAATTAACTTTATCAACTACTAATTAATGGAGCTAACTAATCAACAATTTCAACTTCGATTTCGACTGTCTATCTATTAGGGATGGATACGAATCGGATATCCGTTCTTTTTCAATAATATTCGTATCCGTATCCGGTTCATATGGATATATAATTTTCTTATTCGTATACAATCCGAATATTTCAGATATCCGCAATTTCGAATATTCATAAAAATTGCAGATATTTACGGATATTTGTATCCGATTTTTAAATATGGTAAAAATAAGAAATAATTTTTTTTTAAAAAAAACTCAAAAACAAAAACTCAAAATAAATATATACCATCTCCATTCATAGCTCATAACTATAATGTTAACTTGTAATGTAGTTCCTTGTCTTGTGGAACGAACATCTATAAAATGGAAGTGACCAAAGAGCTAAATATAAGGAAAACTCAAAATGTGTGTTATGATAAAACTTTGATACACAAACATCTTCAACCCTTCCTTGTTTTCGGCATTCATAGTGAACACTTACTATGGATTCCAGACACGGCGCTTCCAATACAACCTCGGCGATTATACCTCTTTCGACATGTACGTATATATATGCATGTCGGTCCACAACACTATACTAGCGAGTGATTTTCTTTTCTTGTATTCTCAATATTTTCTTGTATGCTTCAAGACATACATAGCAACATGAAACAATATATGCCGGTTTACAGCATATATTCTCGTTCTTATTCATCGTCTTCTTCAATACTACTTCGGTTCATCTTCTTTCTCTTATCTTTTTGCTTACCCGCTATAGCTAACACCAAGTTTGATCCCAAACCATCGAGAAACAGGACTTTTCCTGCGTTGTTTGTCTTCGGAGATTCCATTATAGACACCGGAAATAACAACGACATCATGACGGTAGTCAAGTGTAATTTTCGTCCCTACGGTATAAATTTTCCGAATGGAGTTCCTACCGGAAGATTTTCCAACGGAAAAGTTCCCTCCGACATCTTAGGTGGCTATATATATGCTCTTCTTTTCATCTATATATATGTTGTTTCTTTTCTCCGTGTTCTCTTGTACTATCAAAACAGGTAATTCGGTTATATACGCTTGATTTAATTTGGTTCGGTTTAGTTTGGTTATTTCTTATTATTTGGTTAGTGGTGGTTTACATTTTTCTTACTCTCTGTATTTAATTTAAGGAATTTATAGACACAAACAGGTTACTTAGTCATATCATTAATTGATAACGTGAGAAGATGAATTAAGAAATTTGAGGACGTAATCGCTTTACATGCATAACATATCATGTACGCATCATGCAAACGTATGGTTAAAACATGAAATAACTGAAGCATGCTATAATGAGATTTTAGGGTTTTGAATTTGTTTCAATAAGCATGAAAACAGGGGAAAATGGAAGAATTATAGCCGGCAATAATGATATTTTAGAAAGAATTAGCCATCAACATTTAATATTTTTCCATTAAAGTTTTGGGAGAATAATCTCAGATTATATTCCGAAAAGTTTCAAAAAATTCATGAAACCTAATACTTTTAAAAGTATTTAAAACAATCTCTCGCTTGGTTTTTTTTTAAATTTCACAGCGGAATTATTGGGAATAAAAGGAACCGTACCAGCATATTTGGATCCGAAATTAAAACCGGAAGATCTGCTAACCGGTGTGGTCTTTGGGTCTGGCGGTTCAGGATTTGATCCTTTGACTCCTGTTTTATTGGTACTCTTCATTCCCTCTCGCCACTTGTGTTTATAATTTAATATTACTTTGATTTCCCTCTTATAATTTTCTTAATTAGTACTTATTAGTATTTATTTATTCACTTATAATTGAAACCAATCCAACGGACGATCTATAGTCATTTGTTCTGGTTATTTCCGAGGGTAACAAAGAAAATATTAATTTATTTTTTTTTTAAAAACACTGCACGTTCTTATATATAGTTTTGTGTCGATTAAATACCCTCCAAAATTTTAATTCTAATGTAAATTTAATAGGAACTCGGGTTTATCATCCTAATCATTTGATCATGTTCTTGATCATGTTCTGTCTTTGCATGATTCGAAAAAAAAAACAGTCGGTGATATCAATGACGAACCAATTGAATTATTTCCAAGAGTACAAGGAGAGGTTGAAGGGAATGTTGGGTGAAGAAAGAGCGAACGCTCGAATAGCAGAGAGCTTATTCTTTGTCGTTGCCGGAAGCGACGATATAGCGAACACTTACTATGGATTCCAAGCACGGCGCTTCCAATACAACCTCGGCGATTATACCTCTTTCTTGGCCGACTCTGCCACCAGTTTCGCTTTGGTACGTCCTCTCGATTATTATTTTTTATTCATTACGAGATCGAATCTCTGAATACAAGATTAGTCGTATAGTTGAGATCCTCCCATGATAAAGATATTGAGAAGTTGATTCATTGGCTGACTTTACTCTTATGCAATATTTATGTAAGACGATTACATCATGATGATGATGTTGTTGAAGTAGAAAAATGAATATGTGATTTTTATCGTATTATCTTTTCAAGATTGATTTTTGCATTCTTTCAAAATCAATCTTGAGGGGGAATGTTGAAGTAGGAAAATGAATATGTGATTGGAGGAAAATCTAGATTTTGGAGGAACACAATATTATGTTAAAAATTGTGAATCATATTTATTTCCGTTATATCTATATTTCTTTTTATTTCATTTGTTAATTTTTCTATAAATATGTGAGTTATTTTCATTGTAATGGAAAAAGAAGAGGAAGAGATGTAGAAATAAAAGTAATTCCGTTCTTCTGTTTATGTAAGGAGTATTATAAATTTGAATTTGTATGTGTTAGGTGTAATTGGAAAAAATAAAGATAGGTTAGATGTGATTGATTAATAAGATGGTGTACTATTATTACCCGTGTTATGAAAAGGATGTAATGAAAATCATATAGTAAACTAAAAGTAACGATACCTAATGATCTAAGCGATTCGACAGCAGTTGCATCATTATGGAGCAAGATACATAGCCATTTCAAGTTTGCCACCAATCGGATGTCTGCCTTCGGTAAGAACCCTAAGAGGAAGATTCGGTAGAGATTGTTCAAAGCTCCTTAACTTGGCAGCTCAGCTTTTAAACTCCAAACTCTCCACAAAGATGCATGCTTTGTCTGAAACCCTACCAGACACCAAATTGTTGTACATCGACGTCTATACTCCTATGATCGAGATGATAAAATCCCCCAAAAAATACGGTAACAACGTTTCCATTATTTGTTGTATATATAACGATATAGTTTTTTTTTTGTAATTGGGTGTCATGGGTCAAAACCCAGACTAATCCTAGGGGTGAGAGTAAGCCATATGATTAGAATATACACTCTCCTTTCCAACTCGAGGCTCGAACTCGGAACGGGACAGACGCTTTGCGTCCCCATTTCATCGGTTGAGCTACCCAAATTGGATTATATAACGATATAGTTATAAGAATGTTATCATAATTATGTATATTAGGTTTAATGTGTATTGATCAACGTAACATACAACTTATGATATTGATATGAAAGATCCTAGGGCAAACATCAAACTTAATATACAATTCTCCAAAAGTCATGAATTCGATTCCACTCTCTATCGAACATGTTATCTTTAGATGGTTTATCTGTTTCATTGGTTTGCACACTATTATGTGGAGTCAGGTTTATCAATGTGTGTCCGAAATGATGTGACTGAGTTTTCACCATTATAATATACGATTGCAAGTATACGAATTGAAAACTTTCGGGTCGGAATTATGCAGATTTCGAGGTGGCCGACAAGGGATGTTGCGGAACGGGAATGATCGAAACAGGTCCATTTTGCAGCCACCCTACCTCGTACGTATGTAAGAATGCGTCTGCTTATTTGTTTTGGGACAGTTATCATCCCACGGAAAGAGCTTATAGGATTTTAACCAAAGATATTGTTGACAAATATTTCTCCCGTTTCTATGATTAGCACTTAACTACTTACGGTGTAAGTAATTGTGTTGCTTTTTATTATTAAAAAAATTAGTTAAGGTTCATGGTCTATTTTATTTTTATTTTTTGTTCCTTATTGGTCAATTTTCATATAAAATAATGAAACAAAAACCCTAATAGGAATATTACTCATCAAACAATTGTAAAACTCCGAACACCCGAGACCTATATTTTATTTTTAAAAAAAATCCTAAATCATCGCCAGGATTTTGTTACGATAAAAGTTTCAAATATATAAAATACATAAACATAAGATTATTGCAATTTTTCATATTCTCTTGTTGATTTTATTATCCAAAATATATGGGGAACCCACTTTTTAATTCCATAAGTGATCACATTTTATGGTGACAGCAAAGGACATGGCCATTAAATTACAGCCATCTGGACTTTCTAATTGGTCAATTTCGTTATTTATTTTCATAATCGAACATTAAATGATGAAAATAATATGATTGCAGAAGCTATATGTTGGGCTTGTGGGCCGCGGGCCCAAGTTTTTGACGGATAAAGAGGAACCCTCTTCATCAGAGGGAGGGTTTCGATGGTTCGAGAGAAAAGGGTTAGTGAAACCCTAGGTGGTGTTTTCGTCATTTTCGTTACAGACTCGACGGCAAGAGAGAGAGAAGAGGCGAAGAGAGAGAAAAGCTTGCGGTGGTGTTTTCGTCATTTTCATCTATGCTAATTGTGCATGTCTCCGACGCTTTTTCTTTTGTAGTTAAAAAAAATGCTATTTTAATGAAATCAATGTGATAAAAAAATATTTCTAAATTTAAAAATTTCGTGGATAATCGACCGATTTCGTCGAGGGACACGTGGTGAGGCGAAATCCCTAAATCTTGAGATATGCCACAATTTGAATTTGTAAGGCAACGACAGTAGCAGTGGATATATAATTATAATTTCTAAAATTATTATATGGTGTAAGAAAAAATCTCGATAATTTTGATTTAAAAATCAATTTGTAAATTATAAAAACATATATTGCAAATTTTTTATTAATAAATTTATAAAGCGAAAAACTTAATAATTAGTTTTTTTATAATTTTACAAATTATGGGTTTATTCTAAATTCAAATATCAAAACTTCAAACATTGGCGAGAAAGCAATTGGCCTGTTAGTTGCTTTTGGAGTTTTAGAGAAAAGACGAGGGCATTTTTGGGTTTTCAGAAAGCGCTCACCGATGATTTTCTTTCCTCGATAACCGTGAACCGGTTTGGTGTAAGAATTTTGGTTAAGTCGTAATGTTGGATATGGTATTCAGAAACCGAGACCGGTTGTCATATTCATCATCGCATGTACATGATGTTGATACATTTTCTATATTTCTGCAAAGTTCTTACAATAAAGGCATTGGTAATGAGATTGTTAACTGTGCATACATACACACACATACGCGCATGCATTGACATATACACACACTGACACACATATATTAAATCTATACACACTTTTATGGTATATGAAAGACAAGCTACTTCTGTTTTAAGAAATAATAGTTTCTAGGAAATCTACGAGTGGTCGGAAAACATATTTATTGTCCAAATATCCAATCATTTTCACAATATATATAGCGAATAATATTAATGAAAAGGATTCGGACACTGGTTTTAATGAAAAAGTTTATGAACATATATATATCACTTGTCTCGGAAAAAAATAATTCAGAAATGCGATTTGGCTGGTGGGAAAAAAACTAAAGTGTGCACACTTCAAGCGTTCAAGGAGGTTTTGTCGGCATGAACATTGACGAAGACTTGTTGATTACAATAACTCGTTGGGGGCAATGTGATGACTGTCCGAAATCTTGAACAAAATCCCATACGGTACTTTAAATTGTTGATTATACGACTCTAATGTTTCCTGATTAATGATTATTGTCAAGATTTTTTGAAATATCGCCCGAGTAATTCTAGAGAATATCGGGTTCTATGGGTAAAAAAAATAACTATTTTTCTATATACCGAGAGATATTCATAGTTTACATTATGTGATTCTATATATATAATAAGATCCCTTAGAGAAATTCATACTTAGAGATGTAAAACGGACTTGGTTCAATTCGGACCAGTCCAATCTGTCTCATATAAGAATTTTTTAGTGACCCAACTCATTTTTTTTAGCAAATCAAAAAATACTTTGTTCATCTTTAATCGTTTTAGCTCATTATATATAGAATATATTATAAAAGATTTAATATCCTAAAATAAGATAGAGTAAAAAAGGCTATAATAAAAATATTAAATATAGTAAAATATTTTAAAATATAAAAAATTTAAAAAAAAATATTTTTTTTCCCGACTCGTGATGACCTGATTTGTTCGGTCTATTTTTTAAGGTCCAAATTTGTGGACTCTAACTCAGTAAAATATTGATTCGCTCGCAAGCTCAACCCGTTTTAATATCTCTATATTGGTCCAATGTTTTCGGAACAGAATAAATCAATATAATAACTATTTTTGATGATCCACAAACATATATAATTATAGTGTTTTCCATATTTTACAATTAATTTCTATTTAATAAATTCGTCTAAAACATTTTGGACGCCTTTACGACATATATAAAATATAATTTATAAATATTTTAGATTTTATATAAAATATAATAAAATTAAATTTAAAATTTTACAAATCTCTAAATTTGATTTTATTAAATATAAAAAAAATTAATATAAAATGTTTGTATTTTAAAAATTAAGTTTTTGTATATAAATGTATTAGAATTAAATTTAATTTTACTACGATATGTTGCATTAAAAATAAATAAACACGCAATTCAAATAAAAAATTATATTAAAAAATGTATTAAAATATAAAAAATTGGAAACAAATATTTAATATATTAGAAAATTATAATACTTAAATTAAAATCGAGTATGTCCTCATACAAAGTTTATGGGTGATAATGTTTAAAGAATATAATTAATATTATAATGTGAAAGAGAGAGTGATTTACTAAAACAATCTAGTAAAAAAGATTATGGTAGATATTTTTGGGTTCTTTGTTAGATTTGGTAACAAATGAATCATTACTTCTAAATTGTAACAAATCTTAAATGCACACAATTAAAATTGTGGAGCAAGTAAAATTTAATGTTATAATAAATTATGGAAAGAAACAAAGTTAATTATAAATAAATTTTCTAATAAAATTGTTGACCCTCAAAATTTGAGGCCATGTAATAATAAATATATTTCATTAAGTATTTTTTATATATATATTCAAATTAGTTTACCATATCTTCGATCCACCTATATCAACTCCGAGTCGGAAGAGAGTTTTACTATAATTAAAGTGTATACTTCTCGTTAAGTTACATACGCTTTTCATGGAATGGTTATTTCGGTTCGTATTTTCAATTTAATTATTTTTGGGTTTGGTTTATTGTGTTCTCAAAAAATTATATAAAACAAATTGGTTCGCTGTGGTTTTTGATCGATTTGATTCGTTTTAACAAAATAAAATTTTAATCGAAAGATTTGATTCAATTGAGTAAAAACCTAAAAATTCAAACCAATATTGAATAACCGTCCGGTTATCCACGATTATTTGATTATTTACTTAACCAAAGGCAAACGGGTATTTCACCTGCTCAACCGATTTGTTATTTAAAATAAGGGAACCATTATATTTCGGTTTAGTTCAATTGGTTATTCAGTTATTAACCGAAATGGTCACCCATACTTGATAAGATTTGTTTTATTAATATTTAAAATAAGGGAACCATTATATTTTGATTTACAGACGAAATGAGAAATTTTGGGAAATTAAAAGTAATTTAAAACCGTTAATACTTTAACTAATTAAATCTAGTGATTCAACCATATATATGTACATTAGTTGGCATTTTATATGGAATTATGATATTCTTCCGACTTTCATATTTTATATATATCTTTATATCCTTCACGCATTTTGTTCTCGTTCAGACAACAAAAGACTATACGCCTGAAAATACTTTTAAAAAGTAATTGCAAACTACCAATACAAGTTTATAAGTATTGAATCTCTGTTTAAACTTAGGAAAAAAATATACTTTGTGGCAAAAAAACAGAGAGAAGAAAACACAAATCTTTCTTTAAGACATGAACTTCTTGGTATTGACGCTCAAGAGGCGCTCTTTCTTCTCCACGATGTTATTTGCATTGATCGCTGCTTGTTTCATTTTCGCGGTTCCTGCCGCCGGAGCAAAAGCGTTTCCAGCGATTTTCGCGTTTGGCGATTCGATTCTTGACACCGGCAACAATAACTTGCTGTTCACGGTATCCAAGTGCAATTTTCCTCCGTACGGAAGAAACTTTCCCTTGAAAAGACCCACCGGAAGATTCGGAAACGGAAGAGTTTTCTCGGATTTCGTCGGTATGTATAATTCGCACCGTATAGTTAAAATAGTTGCCAAAAAAAACACGCAATATATACACAATGACATACATATATATACACACACATACCAATTCGTAACAATATAGCTTCTGACACGAATGTTTTGTATGCAGCCGATGGTTTGGGGATAAAGCGTTTCGTGCCGGCTTTCCGACGTCATCCAGCGAGCAGAGAGCTACGGACCGGTGTATGTTTTGCATCGGGTGGCTCAGGGCTCGATCCCGTTACCTCGAGGATTCAGGTTTAAATAAATAAAAACCATATATCAAAATTAAAGCTTCTAACCATTCTTCGATCTTTTCAACAGCCAAAATCGAGAATTCTTTTAAATTTTTTTTTGGTAAAGGGGGTAATTCACGTGAATGATCAAGTGAAGGACTTCGCGAAGTACAAGGCGAGGCTGAGAGGCGTGGTCGGGACGGAGGCGGGAGTGAGAAACATAGTGTCGAAAGCGGTGTTCTTGATCTCTGCCGGAAACAACGATCTCGGCATTACGTACTACTCCACCACCCTCCGGAGCCTTCAGGCCACTCCGGGTTTATACACCACTCGACTGGTCACTTGGTCCAACCATCTATTTAAGGTAAATTCCACAGAAACTTGTCCAAATGTGTCGTATAAATACCAACATTTCCGAATTGCTAAATAAATATCTCAATTTGATCAATTTATATTCAAATAGATAACAAATTGATTTGATGACGGTGCGAATTTGTGCCAAATAGATACCAAATTGGCTATTTGAAAATTAAGGTATTTGCGTAGCATATTTGGACACATTTTGGTATTTTTATGGAATTTCTTCAAAAAACAAATTATCATCAACAGAATGAATTTTCTCCTCAGCAATGATCAAAGGAGTGGGACTCTTATGTATGCATATACATATATACAATGTGAAAAAACCGAGACATTATCCCGCAATTCTTGTCGATACGTAGATTAACCGGGTTATATAAGTATAGACTACAGTGGCGTGTGAATAGCGCAACGACGACGTGAAATCTTTTTTTTTTTTTGGTTGCGATTTGAAGAATCTGTACAACGAAGGAGCGAGAAAATTCGCGGTAATGGGAACGTTACCGTTGGGGTGCCTGCCGGGGGCGAGAAACAGTATAGCCGGAGGGCCGTTGAGGATGTGCAGTCTTTGGGTGAATAGAGGAGCTCAAAGCTTCAACAGCAAATTGGAAGCAGAGGTTAAGAAACTTCAGTTAACTCTTCCCGGTTCCAAGTTTGTCTACCTCGACATGTACACTCCTATTCATAACATCGTCAAGAACCCTATGAGACATGGTAAATGCTTTGATTACGTGTAAAAAAAACATCATGGTATTCAAGCCAATTTGATTAAGAAACATATATGACTTACAGCAAGATATTCACTAACGAAGAAAGAAACGTTATATGGTTTGAGTCAATAACTTAGGGTTTACCATTTCGAATTTTGAATTCGTTTTTTTTTTCCGTTCGTGTGTATGAAATTAGGGTTTACTCACGTGGCGGATGGCTGCTGCTGCATGCCAACGAGGCCGTTGCCATGCATCGATGTTAATCGCTACGTGTTTTGGGACTTTGCACACCCAACGGAGAAAGTCTACAAGATCATTTCTCCACCCATCGTGGCGAAAATAAAAAAAAGCCTCGCCTGATGAATCTTGGCTTTCAATCTTTGATTGCTATTAATTACATATTTACCACATAAATAATGCATACGTACATACGTAAAGCGATGATGTATATTTGTCCATGCATGTTACAGTCAAATTCACGTGATATCAGATTTGTATCATATAGACATAAATATAAATGAATTCCATGTTGATTTCAACATCGTATAAATCCCAAGTTTATTTAGAGTTGACACTAATAAAATAAATTACTACTAAAAAATTGGCATGAATATTTTCCTAAAAATTGGAAACGATTAAAAGTAAATAAGGGTTTACAAAAAAAATTGAACAAATTTAATTATAAACAAACTAAAAAAAATACGAAGAAAAATTTGCGAAAAATAGTATAAATCATGAAAGGAAAAAAGTATATTATTTGAAAAAAATAAAAATAAAATTTCAAAATGAATATTTTTATATTTTCTTCAAATATAATTTTCAAAAAAAGACTTTATTCTATTCAAAAGATTGACAAAAATGTGGGAGATAATAAGGTAAAAGAGAATATGCGCATAAGGACGGAAAATTAAGGTATGATCTGTCATATCCCTCTTATTTCGCACAATCCTTAATTCACGAGATAAAATAAAAAAGAATAATCGCGGAATCCATTACGTTCATTTTGCTTAAAATTTGCAGTAGATTTCTTAAAAATATTCCCTTGTAATAAATATTCGTTGACCATCTCATTGTATACATATATATATATATACACACACATACACGAACTTCGTCGTTTCTTTGCATCCGATCATTAACGCAGACACAATAAACGCTTTTCTGAAAATATGAACTCGGGATTTATTTTATTTTTGTCATTGTTTTCTGCTTCTTGTTTTTTCTGTGTTGGATCCGCAGGAGAAAACGCAGCGTTTCCTGCGATTTTTGCGTTTGGAGATTCGATACTCGACACAGGTAACAACAACAATCTCCGAACACTATCCAAGTGCAATTTTTTCCCGTACGGAAGAGATTTTATCGGCGGAAAAGCTACAGGAAGATTCGGAAATGGAAGAGTTTTATCGGATATAATTGGTACGTCCTTACATATTTTGGTAATTTTTTTGTATAATAAGAGCATATAAGGTTTTATATTCTAGTAATACATACTAGGGGGTGTCAATTCGAACAGTCCGATCCGATCAGGTCCGAGCTCGCACTCGGTCTGAAAACTTCGGATTCAGGCTTGGACTGGTTTGTATTTTATCAGGTCTATACAGCCAAACGCGCAGCCCGACCCTATCTCGTTCAGAGCCTTCTTTGTACGCATTTTTATAATTTTTTCATTTATTATTTTTAAAAATTAATCGAGTTTTCTTCTTTTTTGAAAATTATTATGTCAAAATATATTTGTTATAATATTTTTCAAAATTTGATTAATTAATTTTTCTGCAGCTGAAGGGTTAGGTATAAAAGATCTTTTAGCAGCATATCGTGACCCGGACCTTTCGAACAACGACATTCGCAATGGTGTATCTTTTGCGTCCGGCGGTTCTGGACTCGACGATATCACTGCTACATCACAGGTGAAAAAAATCATTAGTTTCGATTTTATTAAACAAATACTATGCATTTTAACTAAATTAATTAATTAATATTTAGCACTATAATTTCTAACAATATTCGATTATAATATTCATTTATTTATTTCGATAATTTAGGGAGTTATATGGGTACCAGAACAACTGAACGATTTCAAAGATTACATACAAAAGCTAAACAGTATCGTTGGGAGCGAAGAGAAGACAAAAGAGATTATACTAAATGCTATTTTTCTTATCTCTGCCGGAAATAACGATCTTGCCATCACATATTTCTCTACTTCGTCGAGGAGATTTCAATACACCGTACCTGCATACACAGATCAAATGATCACTTGGACCCGCTCTTTCTTACAGGTAACATAAACATGTAATGCATATTTGGTACGTATAAATACAAAAAACCATATAACATATACCTTTTTTTGTATTTGAAGAATCTCTATGATTTGGGAGCAAGGAAATTCGCGGTTCTTGGAACGTTACCGTTGGGATGCTTACCAGGAGCGAGAAATAGCTTTGGAGGGATATTAAAATTGTGCCTCAACTATATAAACGAAGCTGCCGATATGTTCAACGAAAAGTTATCATTCGAACTTAACAAACTAAACACAACTCTCATTGGTGCAAAGTTCGTCTACGTGGATATGTACCATCCTCTTCTTGATTTTGTCAACAATCCTCAAAAAGATGGTACATTATATGATCTATAAACCCTTTGCTTGTTTTTTTTTTGTGATTAGGGTTTATATGAATGTGAACTCTTTGTTTGATGTTTTTGTCATTAGGGTTTATCAACGTGGCTGATGGCTGTTGTTGTATGTCTACTGTTCCAACACCGTGCATGGATGCGTCTCAATACGTTTTCTGGGACTATGGCCACCCGACCGAGAAATCTCACAAGACGATTGCCCCGAGAATCGTAGAGGAAATCAAAGGCAGCCTCGGTTGATCATCTTGAATTTATACTTAATATGTATTTGTTTCCTATCTTATATATTAGGCAAGATTGTGTAGCTTTTCGTTCATTAAGGGTAGATGGAATTCTCAAGAGCTATTTACAGACTCTAGTCTTCGTTCCTGTTCTTGTCCGAACAGAGTGGAAGACCCTATCCAATGGTCGTTGTCCTTGTTTGTGTTCAAACACAGAAGAGACTCAACCCACATCCAAAGTTGTTTTTTTTAAAAAAAATCTAATTTGCAGTTTCATCGTGTTTCTTTAAAAATAATAATAACTTATCAAATAAAAATGTTTGTTCACCGGAATTATAGTCTATCTATTTTCTTGTTGTATGTTTAGCATTTCATTCCTCTACTATTTATTATAGTATAAAAGATTACGTTTTCTTGACAAAAGAAACATCTTCCATTAAAGTTTTAATGAAGAAATGTTACATATGAACATTTTCATAGATACACACGTACACACACAAACTTCATTGTTTTTTTTTGGATCAGATCATTAACGTAGCCAGTAAAAAAATTTTCGGAAAATATGAAGTCAGGATTGATTTTATTGTTGCCGTTGTTTTCTACTTCTTGTTTATTATGCGTTGGATCCGCAAGGAAAAACACAGTGTTTCCTGCGAGTTTTATGTTTTAGAGATTCGATACTCGATACAAGTAATAACAAAAATCTTCAAACACTGTCCAAGTGCAATTTCTTCTCATACGGAAGAGATTTTATCGGCAGAAGAGCTACAGAAAGATTCAGAAATGGAAGGGTTTTATCAGATATAATTGGTATGTCCTTCTATATCCTAAATATTTCAGAAATTAACTTCGGAATCCGACCTTGTACTTGGAATCCGTAGATATTTGAGTTTCTAGTACTCGTACCAAAAATGATTTCGTAATTTAAGAAATAGTGAAGGTATTTTTGAAGTTTTAAAAAATATAAAATGTATTTTTGTAAATATGTTGGATACTGGCAGAAAACTTGAGATTGCAAAAACCAATCCAAATTTGATTAATAGATAATCTCGATTTATAAACTCAAATTCAAACACCAATTGCTCGATACGAACCCACAAATCAGATCGTATACCAAAAATCGGTTAATAAACATTTTTTTAATTATAATAGATCGATCATTCAAATCAAATATAAAATAAAAATTTTATTGGAAATTAAATTGTGTACAAAATTTGGACTTCCTTCTTTTTCGATAATTAACATGTAAAAATATATTTGCTACAAGATTTTTCATAATTTGATTAATTTGTTTTTTTTTCAACATGTTAGGAATAAAAGATCTTTCATCAGCATACCGAGTCCCAAATCTTTCAAACAACGACATTCTAAGTGGTGTTTCTTTGCTTTCGAGGGTTTTGGACTCGATGATATCACTGCTCGATCCCAGGTTAAAAATCGTTACTTTCGATTTTATTAAATAAATATTCTGTTTTTCAATAAATTAATAAATATTTTGAACTACAACTTCTATAATCATATTCAATTATAATATTTACGATTTATTTTATTTCAGTGAATTGGGGTTTAGGGTTTAGGAAAGTGAGAAAAAAAAAAGCAAAAGAGATTATATCAAAGGCTTTTTCTCATCTCTAATGGAAATAATAACTTTGCAATAACGTATTTCTCTACTTTATTGAGGAGTTCTCAGTATATCGTACATGCGTACACAGATCAAATGATCGCTTGGACCTGATCTTTTTTACGGGTAACAAAGATAGAATGAAGATTTGGTACGTATAACTATAAAAAAATCATATAACATATACGTTGTTTTTGTATTTGAAGAATCAGTATGATTTGGGAACGAGAAAATTCGCGGTTCTTGGAATGTTGTCGTTGGGATGATTACCTAGGGCGAGAAATAACTTTGGAGGGATATTAAAATTGTGCATCAACTATATAAATGAAGTTGCCTATATGTCTAACGACAAGTTGTCATCCGAACTTAACAATCTAAACACAGCTCTCACCGGAGCAAAGTTCGTCTACATGGATATGTACAATTTTTTTCTTGATCTCTTCAACAATCCTAAAAAAGATGGTATTTCCTTGTCAATCCTTTCAATGTATTAATCATATAGATGTACGAATTATGATTTATAAACTTTTTGTTTGCTATTTTTGTGATATGGGTTTATATGACTCTTTACTCTTTGTTTGACATTTTTGTGATTAGGGTTTATCGATGTGGCTGGTGGGTGTTGTTGTATGGCTACATCTCCAATATTGTGCATGGATGCATCTCAATACATTTTCTGGGACATTGGTCATCCGACCGAGAAATCTTACAAGACGATTGCCCCGAGAATCGTAGAGAAAATCCAACGCAATCTTGCTTGATCATCCTGAATTTATACTTGTGTAGGTAAGATTGTGTAGCTTTTCGTTCAGCTAAAGAATAAAGTTTCAATGATTTGATCAGTTAGAGACTGTAGCTTATGAAATAACTATTTTACATGACCCATGAAAATATAATTAATTTGGTCCAACATTCTATATATCTATATGCCATTAAATTAGGATATATCTTTATTAGTTTAATTTATATAAAAAGGAATGAACTCACGCTTGGTAAAAATATATATAGATATTCCATGGTTTGTAATTAATTTACCCATCAAAATCATTAATTGCAAAATATTTCAAATAATTACATTATTTTTTTACTTATAAATAAATAGGAAAAGAAAAGCATACTAGATTGTAGAATTGGTTACAACATGTAATATTTTCAACGGATATATATTTGGAAATATTTTCAACAGATTTTTCACGTATTTCAATGGTGTTTCAATGACGAGTTCCGTTAAAATTCCGTAAAAAAATTCAACGGATTATCGTTGGAAATTTTAGTTGAAAAATTTTAACGAGATTCCAACAGATTTCGATTGAAAAATTCAATTAAAAATATCTAACGACATTTTCAATGAAAATCCGTTAAAAAATTCAATGGATTACGATTGAAAAAATCATTGAAATTTTCAACGGAATTTAAACGGATTTTGGTTAGAAATTTCAACGAATTCCGGTTGAAAAAATCGATTGAAATTTCCAACGGAATTTCAACGGATTTTGAATGGAAATATCGATTGAATATTTTTCAATTGAATTTCAATGGATTTGATTTGAAAATAGCATTCTAAAAATATGCATATATATATATATTTATATGTATATAAGAATGTGTATACCAATATACCAATATATATATATATTTTATATATATGTATATGTATTTAAATATACATTTTTGTATAAGTATGTATATATTGCGTATATACATATGTTATATAAACATATCATGTCTACATATAATAGTAGAACAAAAAGAAATTTAAACACCAAATTCAAATTTATATTTTTATATTTCTTCAAAAAGAATTTAGAAAAAAAAGAAAGAAAGAAATTCTATTCAAATGGGTAAACCAAAACGTGGAAGAGAATGAGATAAAAGTGAGGATTTTCTTAAATGTTTACCTTAATCATTTTGACATTATTTATAGATATAATGTTTTTATAAAGATTTATAGATATAAAATACAATCTTAGAATATTTATTGTAAATATCTAAAACATAAAAATAAAATCTAACCTATGTTAATCTTAATATATATATATATATGCTTTCACATCTGGAACATTATCATTTCTTTAGGTCCATCATTCACATAAACAAAGAAAAAAAAACACAAGCATTTTCTGAAAATATGAATTTGGGACTTATTATATTGTTAGGGTTTTCTGCTGCTTGTTTGTTATGCGTTTCATCCACAAGACAAAATGCAGTGTTTCCTGCGATTTTTGCATTTGGAGATTCGATACTCGATACAGGTAACAACAACAATCTTCAAACACTATCCAAGTGTAATTTCTTCCCGTACGGAAGAGATTTTATCGGCGGAAAAGCTACAGGAAGATTCGGAAATGGAAGAGTTTTATCGGATATAATCGGTACGTCCTCACACATTTTGATACTTTTGATGTATTATAATAGAGGCATACAAGTATGACATTCAAATAATATATACCCATGGTACGATACGTATAGATTACGGATACCCGAGTTTTGATTATTCATGCCAAAAACAATTTTGTAATTTTAAAAAATATTAAGAGACCTTTACCAAAAAAATATTAGAGGAATTTTGTAGTTTAAAAATATTAAAAATATTTTTTTTTTTGTAATTATATAAGATATCCACAGGTGATTATTGTAAAACCCATATCCGAATTCGATCTGTTTATTGATAATTTTGTTGTACCCTAATAGACACTTTTATGTTGTTTTTTTACAATATAAGAACCTTTTAAATATTACATAAAACAAAAATCCCAATGGGAATTAAATTATAGGTCTACAAGATTTGTGCTTCCTTCTTTTGTGAAAATTTATATGTCAAAATACATCTTCTACAATATTTTTCATAATTTGATTAATCAATTTATTTTGCAGCCCAAGGATTAGGAATAAAAGATCTTTTATCAGCATACCGAGACCCAAACCTTTCAAACAACGACATTCTCAGTGGTGTTTGTTTTGCGTCCGGCGGATCTGGATTAGACGATATCACTGCACGATCACAGGTGAAAAATCATTGTAAATTCTTTCTTTTTCACTAAATTAATTAATATTTCAGACTATAATGTGTAATCATATTTGATTTAATATTTATTTAACTATTTATTTCGGTGAATTAGGGAGTTATATCGATATCAGACCAATTAAGTGACTTCAAAACATATCTGAAAAAGCTAAACAATGTCACTGGAAGTGAAGAGAAAGCAAAAGAGATTATATCCAAGTCTCTTTTTCTCATCTCTGTCGGAATTAACGATTTTGCCCTCACGTATTTCTCTATTCTGTCGAGAAGATCTCAATACAACGTACCCGAATACACCGATCAAATGATCACTTGGACTAGATCTCTCTTACAGGTAACAAAAATATATAATAAATATTTAGTTCATATAATTACAAAATATCATATAATATACACGTTTTTGTTGTTATGTTTCAAGAATTTGTATGAACTAGGAGCGAAAAAATTTGCGGTGTCTGGAACGTTACCGCTAGGATGCGCACCGGGGGTAAGAAATAATACCATTGGAGGGTTATGCATTAACAGTATAAACAAAGCTGTAGAAATGTTTAACGGCAAGTTATCTACTGAACTTAACAATCTAAACGCAAATCTCATCGGTGCAAAGTTTGTCTACATTGATCTGTACAATTCCGTTCTAGATCTCATCAACAATCCTCGAAAAAATGGTAAGTCCGATCAAATCTCATCAATATATTCATCATATGGAAGTATATTTTATTATTTTTTGTTTGATTCTTTTTGTGATTAGTGATTATATGATTATAAATACATATTCTGTAATTGGGATTAATATGATTAAAAGTACGTTGTATGATTTATAAACTCCTTGGTTGCTTATTTTAGTATTAGGGTTTATATGATCGTAAACTCTTTCTTTGTTTCTTTTGTGATTAGGGTTTATATGATTTGTAAACTCTTTGTTTGTTTATTTTTGTGATTAGGGTTTATTCATGTGGCTGATGGGTGTTGTTGTATGTCTACGGTTCCAATACCATGCATGGACGCATCTCAATACGTTTTTTGGGACTTTGGACATCCGACCGAAAAAACTTACAAGACAATTTCCCCGAGAATCGTAAAGGAACTCAAGGACAATCTCGCTTGATAATTTTCGATTCTTAAAATGTTATATCTTTCTCGTTTTTGTTTTCTATGTGATATTAGGTTTTTGTTAATAAAACAGTAAACTTTTTAATCACGTAACCTCTAAAGGTTCTAATCTTCGAACAATTCTAGAAAACAAACAAACTAATTACTTGAAAGATATATAACCAAGTTTTGAAGATTTGCAAATGTAGAATATTTGTGTTACATTGAACCAAATAAGACGCTTGTGTTGTCGTGTTTGAAGGAGATTAATTAATATTTCATACACACAAAAATCTAATGTGGCAGACAACAGATATACGGTACTTATGTGATTTCTCTACTCAACAAAATTGTATATAATAAATTTCTCCCTTGTTAGATGCATAGTTTTATATCCATAATTCAAACAACAAAACAAATCCGGAAATCAAAGAAAACTTCTCACGGGAGTAGTTCACGACACCTATATTAAATCTTACAATCAACGAAAAAATCTTATATTTTAATCTGAGAACTCGAGAAGCTGCTTCTTTCGATCGGGCTAGGATGAAATGGAAATTTGGTGGAAGTTTACAATTTGCACTCAATTTGTTTTGTGACGACTATTTACATTTAAGGATGAAGGCTTTAAAATAAAATTAGCTTTTTAGATTCAAGAACAAAAGCAAGAGAGAGTACTAACAAATTAAAACATCTGAAAAATTGGGATCCAATCGGAGTAGGCCATCAGTTGTAGCTGGTTAAGAAGGATGATGTTTTTGTCCCAGGTCTCGTGTTCGAGCGGCTATTGGAGAGAAATGATACAATATAATTGTAATAAGGTTATCTTCTGATTCAGAGTATATGTAATTGGGTCGAAGATTCAGTGAACCAATCTGATTAACAAAAAAAAATGTGAAAAATTGGAAGGTTCGAAGCCGATACGAGAGCATAACTCAATTATTTATATATTATAATTGATTATTAAATAATGTGAAGAAGAAGAACCAAATATAACTCCTAGACAATGAATTAAGCAAAAGAACACATAAATATAATGTGGTGTTATCTAATTATTATAAAAAAAATAAATACAATGTGGCGTTATTGCGATAAACCAATACTGTGAAAAAGAATTTGGGATACAAATGAAAGAAAATCGAATGCATTTAAGAAGTACATTTAATAATTTACCAAAAAAATGCATTTAATAATTTAGAAATAACAAATACATTTACCAAAACAGTTACGGCGAGCTCGATTTCGAATTTTATGTGATAAAATTGGACTTATCACAAATAATTTATCTTGAGGGACATATGAAGATATTACAAATCTAGCTAAAGATATTACGAATATTTTCTAGAGATTAATACTAGATTTACATTTAATTGTATTTATCTTTATTGGGGTTCATCTCATACCATAACTTTTGTACGTCTATATATTTTTTTTCAAAATTAAAAATTAATAAATGTTTAATAAAAATTATTTTCAAAATTAAAAATTAATACATTCTCATTAAAACATTTTAATAACTATCATTTTTTGCATGATATTTGAATTAAAAAGTTTAATACTTTAATAAAAAAAAGTCACCACAGCAAAAATAAATATCCTTAAGAAAAAAAATTGTGACCCTAGTTCGAACTACACGTGTCTTCTCATTTATTTTCTTTCTTCAAATGTTTAATTAAAGTTATAAATAAATATATTTAACTTAACGAAATAAATAAATAAATAAATTTATGAAGATTATAGTTTTTTAGAAAATAATGGTTTTTTTGTTTTATAAATAATTGGGGTTTTAATTGGATCCTTTCTAAAAATTTAGGTTTTTTAAATACTTACAAAAAGGAGATATTCCATTTTTTTTTGTATTTAAACGAGACGCATGCGAATTTATTTCCAAAATAATATTCACCAATTCCTAGTCTAATTGGGCCCCTATAAATATATCAATTGAGCGTGTCCTCGTGACTCAACGATCGCCAATCAGCGCGAACATCATTGTTAGCCCTTCTTCGCCGTCTTCGTCTCTTTTCCGGCAACCGAAACGATGTCGTCTGCGGTGGAGAGGAAGATCATCCTGAAATCCTCCGACGGAGAGGCCTTCGAAGTCGACGAGGTCGTTGCGTTGGAATCGCAAACCATAAAGCACATGGTCGAAGACGACTGCGCCGACAATGGAATCCCGCTCCCAAACGTGACAAGCAAGGTCCTCGCGAAGGTCATCGAATACTGCAAGAAACACGTAGACGCTGCCGCCGCCAACAATAGCGAGGATTGCGTCGGTGGCTCCGCAGGGGGCGACAAAGACGACCTCAAGGCCTGGGATGCCGAGTTCGTCAAAGTCGATCAGGCCACGCTCTTCGATCTCATCCTGGTTGGTGATTTCTGGCGTCCTTTTGTCTTTGATTTGTTTGTTCTTTTGTTTTCTGAATTTTAGGGTTTTCGATTGGGTAATTAGTTTTTGTTAGGGGTATGGTTTCGCGTATGAAATCGAATAAGAATTTTATTGTATAGAAGAATTTTTCTGATTTGCGGCGGTGTAGTAGGGATCATAATTAACATAATCTCTTTCTATAGTTGGCGAATTTGATTTCCCTCTGAAAATTTTCCAAACCTGATTTGATTGGATAAGATCTCACAGACATGTTCAATTGGGTGATTAAGTAATCGTATTGGATCAGAAATATGTAGTATGAGCGGAGTTCTTCTGATTTTCGGGGGTTTATAATTAGGGTTCATCGTGCACATGATCTCTTTCTTTTGCTGACGAATTCAGGTTTTTCGCCCAATTGATGTTTTTTGCCGATGGGTCTGATGGTTTTTGTGGGCATATTGCAGGCTGCTAATTACCTGAACATCAAGGGCCTTCTTGATCTCACTTGCCAGACAGTGGCGGATATGATAAAAGGCAAAACTCCCGAGGAGATTCGCAAGACGTTCAACATCAAGAACGATTTCACGCCTGAGGAGGAAGAAGAGGTTCGCCGTGAGAATCAATGGGCGTTTGAGTGATAGATGGCTCCACTGTTTGATTGGCCCTTTTTTTTTTTTCTCTTCTCTCTTTTTCTTTTCCTCTTTAATGAAGTTCATCGGTTTGCAATGTGGCTAGAAAGAACTGGTTGTTTGTTTTATGCGCAAGATCTTGTTGCTTTTGGATAATTTAGAAATGCTAGTGTGATTCATTTGCTTTTTCAAAATCTTATTCCTCTTCATCACTTTGTATGCATTTTGTTTCCTTCTATGCTTTTCTCTACATCTTCTTTGTTTATCAAAGCCAAACTCGATGGTATGTGCCGCATTTGTTGGTTACAGCGAACGGACTGTGTATGTTGTTACTGTCCATTTGATCAGGTGATTGAGCCAAGTTCATCACTCTTCGGCGTGAAACTTGAGTCCTTCTTTCTTCAACTCTCCCATGATCTGAGGCAGCTATTCTTTGTAATCTCATAGAGTGTATCTCTGGTTAAGTTTGTCACCGTTCTGTTACTTCTTCTGGTTTCTTTGTCCTTTAGGGCAAGCTCTGTAAACCATAGGAAAGGTTTATGAGGGTCTGGGGGCGGTCTGACTCAGTATCCTTGGTTGGAAAAGGGATTGGATTAGGTAAGTTAGAAATCAAGATTGGTCTGAGCAAAACCAGGTGGTTTGTTCTCCGAGATATTTCTGATCTGTGATGACTGTATCCGTGGTAGCAGAGATAATTTACGTAGTCGCGATGGGCAGTCCTGGTTGCAGGGGGTCCAAATGCAGTGACCTCCCAAGCCCCAAAATCGTAAGACATGGTTTTGTAACCCTTTATCCATAGTTACAGGAGATCCAACGTTGTTTGTCTGTACAGCCGAAGGTTGATCGAGTCTCGGGTTAATCATGGCTCTGGTCAATAACCCAAACCGATTTATTGACTTGAAATCGTACCTGTTGTCATGTTGGCAGATCTGATACTCCGAGAAGGGCTGCTGGATTTGACAACAGCAGCAATCCCCAAGACGCGAGGGCATGGCTGAAGAGTGGCGGTGGCTAGCCTTCTGGTGTTCATTACATGAGTTTTACTTTCTGTCAGTTTCCCTGATTTAAACTTTGGAATCTTAGAAAAGGGCCTTTACATTGAGAAATATGCTAGTTCTGGTGCCGATTTTTGGACAGAAGAGGTTGTTAATATTTGTTAACTCTTGTTCTAGTGAGGCTTTCCTTTATTAGATTATCTGTGCCTCCATCTTTTGATCTTATTACAGTCGTCGGAATCAGAAATCATTTCGTGTTTAACTAAGTTTGATTTACTTGAGCTTGCATTACCTTATTTGTTCTATGTTTAATTTCACATTCATTACAAAGGACGTTTACAGGTACTCAGCTGGTGCTGCTACTTTCACTACTCACTACTATTGGACTTCTGACCTTGTACTTGCCGTTCGACCAAGTAATAGAGCTGAACACATCTTTCTTAGGCGGAGACGAGGCCGAGGCCGCAGAGACTGTCACTTGGTACGTCGACTTCTCTCCATCTTTCGTGAACCGAAGTTTCTCTGGTGTCACTTGAATGTTAAGACTGGGTGTTGCTTCGACGCTGGCTGTATACACGGTCTCGCCATCACCCCCTACATTGGTCACTGTCCTGCTCAATCTCCTGCTCTCGTTGCCTCTAAAACTCGAGATTGCGATCGACGGGTAATTGATGTTGGAGATCAAGTCTACTTTGGAATCACTCGGGCAAGTGAAATTCTCTGGAATCACTTTTGCTATCGTCTTGATTATGGTTACGTTGTATCCATGGTAGCAGAGGAAGTTCAAGTAGTCGATAGGAGTAGTCTCGTAAACCAATCCTGGCTGCAATGGTGCTGTTGTGCTTAGTTCTCCTGCTCCATAGCCGTAAGGCATAGCTTCTGCTCCGGTTTCAGTCGTTATAAGGCCTTTATCGTTGTTTGTTTGAGTTGCTGTCATACGGACAAAAAGAAATTATGTTACGGAACATGCGATAATCTCGACAGATGTTGTGTCATAATTGCTGATAGTTTTCAGAAGACTGACCTGTTGTCATAATTGCTGATCTGATTGCAGAGGAGCTCCATGTCGGGCGTTGTGACTTAACCATGGCCGCAACAGCAGAGACGTGAGGAGTCGCCATTGAAGTTCCCGATATCACGTTGTACTGAGGAGGCGGCTTTCCTTCCAACGTAACACTCGGGTCGTTCCCCGTCCACGCTGCGAGTATTGCAACACCTGGTGCCGAAATATCGGGCTGCAGTTCGGAAACAAATGTTAAAAAGGGCACTAATCAGTACAAAACTGTCTCTTCCCTCTCCAAATCTTAACAGTTTCCTTTCATTGAAATGATACTTTTCCTTGAGAATGTTTCTCGTGAGACCCGAAGGACCTCTGGAAGAGAAATACGCAACGGCAGGCGCAGGCTTGAATTTCTCAATTGTTACGGTTGGGTGAATCGTCGCAATGGGTTCCCTGCAACGTACGGTAATATCGACAAAGTTCATTACCATGTTATACAATACTAAGATTTAGTGAGTTCTGTAGTGTTTCTTGATGGGCTGGGCGCGGTTAGGTACCCGGATTTTTGGAGGCGTTATCTCGGTTTGGGTACCCACTACCCAGTGTATCCGAACCCGTGAACTTGAACCTGCGGTTCAGGTTCTTGCCCGAGAACCGGCACCCAGCCCCGGTTCCTCGTGGACATACCTGGTTGAGTTGAGATAGGAGAAGAGTTCCTCCGCATCCTTTGAACTGATGACAGTTGTGGGAAATGTACCGTAAGTGCTAGCAACCGACCTCGTTCTGTCGTCCACGAAAACGCAACCGATACCTCCTTTGCTTTTAACCTCCTCCATCGCATTCGTTGCATAAGTCGTTCCATCCGCGTTCTCGCACACCACGATCTTCCCCTTCACCGTCTCTCCATCAAGCGTTCCAAATTCGCAACGCCTGAGAGATCGGTTTTCGGATCGAAACGACACAGAAACATGTAAGTTTCTCAGTATTAGATATGTTTCATTGTTACATCTTAGTCTTTACCTTGCTGAATCTACTGAAGCATCAGTGCTCTTTGCTGATTTTCCATGGATCAGAGGATGATCAGGAGATTTACTTATGTCTGCGAAGTTTATACCTTCACCCTGCAAAAATCCATGGCGATGAGTTATATCCTTTAGATCCATGGCGATGTATAAATATCGGTCACCTTGATGACTTTGTTGCTTCCAAGCACGACGTCGGACTCGAAGTCTCTGTCGATTGTGGTGGCTGCGACGGTCAATATCCATGGTGCGGAGTTCACGACCGTTCCTTCCCCCGGGCCGTCGTTACCAGCGGAACATATCACCATGATCCCTTTCTCCACCGCATGAAAAGCTCCGATGGCGATAGGGTCAGCGTTCAGCTCGATCTTAGCCCATGATGGAGCACCGAGCGACAGCGAAAGTATATCGACCCCATCGGCAATGGCGTCGTCGAAGGCAGCTAAAATGGAGGAGCCGGCGCATCCATCGGGCGTGCAGACTCGGTACATGGCGATCCTTGCAGCCGGGAATCCGCCTTTCGCTGTTCCCGAGGCTACCCCATAGTAGGACGCGTTCTCCACGACTGCTCCGGCCGCGGTGGACGCCACGTGAGAGCCGTGGCCGATCACGTCTCTCGAGGTATAGTAATCACCGTCCTCATCTTCCGGATCTTTATAGAATCTGGCTCCAATGATTTTCCTGTAGAAAACCCGACAGGATTTAAGATTCAACAGAAGCAGAAAAAAGGGTCTAGAGCTGTAAGATTGATCAAGAAACTCACTTGTTGCAGTTAGAAGAGTTGAAGTCCTTCGCTTCCACGCACGTCCCTTTCCACCGAGACGGGATCGGACCCATCTCTTTGTCGTAGAAGCTCGCTGATTCCGGCCATATCCCTGTTTCCATTACATTGAACTCACTTTCAGACATTCATCTATGCAGGAGAAAAGCTAGAAAGGAATGCAGAAGAGAGAGCGAGAGACAAGAAAGCTCACTCACCCGTGTCCAGAATGCCGATGATGCTGTCATAAGACGAGGAGTCCGAGCCCGAGGAAGAACGTGGACCCGAGTCAATCTTCACCGCGGTTTGATACTTGAGGAAATCCCAAGAACGTGTGGTGTGAAGCTGAAAGGTCGGGTCGGGGAAAACAGACACAACACCCTGTTTCTTGGCTAAGGTCTCAGCCTCTTCCGCTGTCAGACGGGCCGCGAAACCCGAGAACCCGTGTTTGTACACGTGCAACACAGCGTTTTCCCTCCTACAAAGAACCAGAAACAACAAAAAGACTCAAGAACGAGGTCTCATCGCATGAACCGGTTTTTCTTTTCGATTTTATGAAGTGTTGGACCTCTTAAACATGGTGTTTATGAGTATCTGAGCTTTGTTAGATTCCGTCGCAGGAGATGCAGATCCCATGTAGACTATGTAAACTCCATCACCAGATTTCACTGCTTCGGTTAAGAGACAGTGTAAGAACAAGAACAAGTACAAGGTTAGGCCTTTCATGTGTCACTGCTCTGTTGTAGTGTATGGCTTTGTCATTCGTTTATTCCATATAACGATGGGTATTTATAACGGTGGTGACAAAGTGGGCATTGTTACAAAAAAAAAAAAAATGGAAGAGCCATGGAGAGTGGGGCTTTGTGTAAGTTAATGGTTATCCCACTTTGGGGCTTGGGTGGTTTCTGAATCGGGCATAGTGAGACTGGTAATTTCCCAAAAGATAATGTCTTCATGCCTTAGTGATCCACCCACTATCTTCTCCTCCATTTCATACATCATATGATGTATTTATATATAGTGCGTCTCTGAACGCGGCTGTCTCTGAGTGGCCACATGTCGGATCTGTTCTTTCCGGTCACAGATGGTTCGAACGAACGGTGCGGTGCATATATATATATATATATATAGCTCAAGATTGGATTCCTCAACCGATAAGGGAGCAATTGGATTCGAGTCCTCATTTGAAGAGGTCCATTCACATGGACTTCTCCGATTTTCTAGACGTAGCCGGACCAAAATTATGGTGAACTTCTGGATTGTCAATATATATATATACACACGCATATGTTTCTAACGTTCCAAATTACTTGAGACGAGTTGTGATATTCATCATAACAACTTTTGTAATATATTGTGCCAAAAACTTGTGCAAGTATATATTTGTATGTGAGCTCGTGGGAATATGTATAAAGCTTCGTATTAGTAATTTTGACAGCAATATAGAGAAAAACAATAAATTTTTTTAAACTTTGTTTTTGGGGGAAAATACTCTAAAAAATTCACCAAGATTTTTTAAAAAATCCTTATAAATAATGAATTTCGTAATTTATAAAAAATAATGGTTTTTATAAGTTCATGAGTTTATATAGGTGATTGTCCATTATTTTTACTCTGTTTTTCCTCATTTTCTTATGTAGTGTTTCAACATTTAATATGGATTCTACAAAATCTTAAATGAAATCATAAGATTATATCATTGAAGACCACAAGATATATCATAGAATATGTTTCTTTATTTAATCCGACTTGTAAGTTGGTAGGTATTTGTTGTTAAAAAATCAGATAGACTGTCAAATAATCTAGTTGAAGGATCATATCCTTAATAGAAAAATTGTATTTATTTATTTTTTCCCTACTTTGATAGCAACACTTAAATAAGTGGTGACTTGGTGCTACTTGGGGGAAGATTTGTGGTTGGGATTTATAGGGGTATATATAATCTTAATTTTATAGATAACTTTTTTCATCTTAATCTATTAAATAAATTTTTAATCAACTCTAAATTTATAATTAACAGTTGTGTTAAAAGCCATTATTCAACGGGTTTAAATCATTTACCAATTAAGTTTTACTGGAAATCTAGAAATAATTCGTTTCGGTTGTTACATAGTCCAGATCACATTATGTAATCTGTATAAAATATTAAAAACTATAATATCCACGTCAGATAAAAAAAAGGTACACGTGGCACACATATACATATTAGAAAAAACGTACGAGGAACTCCAAAATTCCATAATTTTTGGGGAAAAAACAAACATTCCCTTTTTTTTCTTTTATGCCTAAGAATAAAATAAGGAAAATAAAACAACTAAACATGAGGGAATACGGTTGCAAAGCAGCAAAAGTCATGACGGTGAAGACAAAACACGCACCGTGTGAAGGAAGCTAACGTGCGCTATAAGTCATCATTTTAGCAAAAATCTACTAAGCAGAGCTAACATCCGCCATCTCCTTAGCTGTCGCTTCTCGAACTTCTTTTTCTTCTCCTTGCCTTCCTCCTCTCTCTCTCTCTCTCTCTCTCTTCTACCCAATCAAATCTTTATACATGTATATATACACACAGATACACACACAGTCACACGCAGATACAAATTCTTTTGTATATATATATAACCATAAAGATCCGTCTTTGTCTTTCATTCGGTTTCGATATCGAGTTCTCGTCAAAGTCTTCCTCTGCAAGAAAAGGTAAGTGTTTTTTTTGTAGTCTCTCCGTTTTTTTTGTCGTCGGTGGTTCTTTATGTGCTGAGCGTATATATATACGTATATATACAATGAATGCTTTTTTTTTTCCTTCATTCCCAAAAGGGTATTGAAATTTCTGGATTGTTTTCAGTATGTACGTTCATTTTGTACGCCATGGATGCTCAGTTACATGAACATGTATGCGCATCATGTGTATTTGACTGTTGTGTTATGTTGCCGTCGTCTTCTTCTGAAGCAGGAAAACCCCAGAAGGAAAGCGTTAGAAACTTGACGACAAAGGTAAGTGTGAGCGGAGAATACATGGAAGCAGAAGGACAATTAGGAAGGACATCCTGTGACAGACTCTCTTCTTCTCCGACATCATCGTCGTCGTCGTCGTCATCTGCTCTCAGTTTCCAAGAACAGTTATCCGATTACTTGCTCGAGCCTCGCCAAGAAACCATACATTCCCTTATGCAAGAATCTTGTTTCCACAGTATGCTCGTCAAGTTCTTCGATTCTAGCTCCGAGGCAAGCTGTATCTGCCAATCTATCCTCAAATGGCTACACCAAATCCGGGTTAATCACAGGAAGATCGAAAGGGTTATCAAGATCTGCAGAAAGGCTTGCCATGGTGAAAGTACAGATCGTTTTCCCGAAAAGATTTGTACTGTGGTATTCAGAGAGCTTTCAAGAATCGCATCGTTGGAAAACCCATTGTGCGTCATCAACAGTGAAGCCGGGTTTCGCTGTTTACGTGACTCAAATGTGGATTTTTTCTCGAGGTTGATGTCGAAAAGGAGAAGAATCAGAAGGAATGTTAAGTTCTTTAGGTTCTGCAAGAAATACGGAGGCTATGGCCTGGTTATTTCGAATAGCATTCTTGCAGTACCGCCATTGCTAGGGTTATGCTCTTTGGGAATGCTGAGGAAGAAGAAGAAGATCAAGAGAAAGATGAACAAAACAGATGTGTTGGAGAAACTCGGTACCCAACTCGACATTGCGGCCAAAGGGATGTTCATACTGATAAATGACTTCGACACGCTGAGTCGCTTGGTCGGAAGACTGTACGATGAGATCGAGCACAGGAAAACTGTCGCTGCTATGTGCGTGAAGAGTCAGAAACCCGAGGTTTTGATGGAAGCGGTGAAAGAGTTCGATTCCCACGAGCAAAGATTCTCAGAACAGTTGAAGGAGCTTGAAGAACATGTGTACCTGTGTTCCCACACCATCAACAGATCAAGAAGACTTGTCTTGGAACAGATAACTGGCTCTCCTCAAGCATTGGAGCTATGTTCTTGATTCTTTGATTCTTTTGTTCATCCATTTGTTTATATTGCTTCTTTGTTTTGTTTTTTGCCGGTTTACCTACAAAAGGGTACATGAAAACGGCTCTAGAAAGAACTTTTTTCTTCGCCTGCTCAAGAAAAAATATCCAAACAAATGATCTTCTGGGGATGTATGAATATCAGATAAGGTTACAAGGCTGCAGATCTTTTATGCTCTCAACCTAATCAGACACTAACCTCGAACATAATCAACTTCGGAGCAAAACTTTGTAGAAAAGAAATCGAACCGGTTTCCTTATGTGGATTCGAGCAAATGGAAGCCATTGAAAACAAAATATATATCATGAAGATGGCTCTTTTCTTTTCTCGTATTCTTCGAGAGTCAATAGGGATGCTTTGTTCTTGAGCCAGTTTGCAGGTTTTGGCATAATTATTGCAATATAGCCTTCTCGATCAGCCTGCAATTAGAAGTTGGGAATAAGCATGAACACAAGCTTGAACACAATGACTTTTTGGTGTTTAAAAAAGCAAAGAGAAGATGATCGGTCTATTCGGATCATTCTACAGTTCAATCGATTCACATAGCCACATTAGCCATAGCACGAGCATCATCATTGTTAAATATATTATACTGAAGCCAGATTTCCATGTCTGAATCATGTAGAATCTAGTCATAATAACAAAATCTTTGCCTTACCGATGAATTAAGAAGCTCCGGATGCTTGATTAATCTATCATTCACCTCTAACAAAGAACCTTTAACACAGCACCTAGCAAAAAACAATGGAGAAACTTCATCTTTTCGCAGAAATTTGGGGCTAGGACTGAAATAACAGCAACGGAACTAGAAACGTTATTTACCTCACGATGTAAGAATCTTTTGCAGTGGAAACTTTACACAATGCGGTATTGGATTCAAACTGCTGAGCATTCTGCACAAGAAAGAGGTGGAAAAACGCTTTAGAGCTCAACCAAGAACAAACAGAGGCATCAACTGAATAGTGATTACAACTAAAACTCCGATTTTGATTTGAAACCGCTCACGCCAAGTTCTACTAATCCAACACTAAGGGCATTCAAGAAATTGATAATATTCTCATGTTTAGATGGAAAAAAAAATGAACAATGACCTTCTTACGCTTGCCGGTGACCTTCATGCCACTACGATCAGACTTCCCGACATTGAAATCGACGGCAATGATTCCACCTTCATCCTTAAACGCTATATGTGTCGGAGCCAATCCAATCACACACAATCTTCAAAGTACAAGTAAGAACCTTAGGTTACTTAACATATAATTTAACAAAATGGGTAAGATGAACAACAAAAAGGAGCAAGCTTTAACAGACCCATTAGCGTGGCGATAGACGTATTGATCATGCCCCGGCTTCATAAAATCTGCGTAACGAGATACAACAAAAGGGTGCATTCGCAGGGAAAATTTGTGAAAAGGGCTTATGAAAAAATCAGCTGAATCTGAACCTGGGGCGAAGAATGAGGCGAAATTGACATCAATAGCAGAGGGAGGACGAACAGGAAGATCTCTGACATCCGAGAGAAGCAACATCCTCAATCTCTCGTCGTCATGTTTCTCTTTCTCTTCATCTTCTTCTCTTTCTCGTACTTGTTCCCGCCGTTGTTGCTGCTGCTGTCGTCGTTCTTCTTCTTCCACCACCACCGCTTCGCCGTGTCGCTGTTGCTCAGTCAATTCGATTTCATTCTCGATTTCAGCACTCCTTGGTTCCTCTGTCACCTGATTCTCCATTGCCGTGAGCAAATCGACGGTCGTGAGGGTTTCAGTTCAGTTTTCAGAGTGACGAGTTTTAACCCCTTCTCTGGCCGCGAATCGCGACGGCAATTGAAATCGGAAGCATATATCGACCCGAACCGACCCGACCCGGAATCTGATAATTTGCCCGTGTGGATCCTTACAAAAAATGAAGACCGGCTAATTTAGCAAAGTAAATTCAAGTTTATTTAATTTTATCTTTTCAAATTTCATCCTTTTAATTTTAATATCCAGTTAGTTTTTGTATTAATATTTCGCATTTACAATAAATGTTTGAAAAAAAATATATATCTCGGAAAATATACTATGCTCAACGTTTTCTTTTTTATTCATTTCTATTTTTCAATGTTTTCTTCATTTTCTGTAAATATTATTTAAGTCTCTTGTTATTATCCTCGCGTGAAATTCATTTCGAAAAAAATTTAAAATTTTAACATTTATTCTTTTATTATTTTTTGTATTTTCTGCCCTCGGAATATTTTTTTTTTTTTTGAAATTTTTATTTTAGCTTCATGTTTATTCTTTCTTTGGTATGTAAACAATATTTTTTTTATATTTTTTCCAACACAATTTCACATTTATTATTTTTCCTTTTTGTATTTTCTTACTCTCCCCTCGAAATAGTTTTTTTAGCTTCGTTTTTTTTTATTCTTTCGTTGGTATTTTTATAACAATTTTTTTAAATATTTTTTCCAGCACATAACTTCACATAGATAGATGCTTTTTTTTTCTATTCATTTACGAGACAAATCAAGTATCCATCCACATATTCAAAAAAAAAAAGTATCCATCCACATCATAAAATTTTAAAATAAAAAAAAAAAAAGAACCGGGCGGGTCACTCCATCAAAAACAAACAAACCCAAGAGCGCGACCACTGCCCTAAAACGCTACGTAACCATCAAACGGAACATAATCAATCCAAAAAAAAACACAATTTTTTTTTGTATGTTCATTTGAACTGAATGTCGGTAGAGTAAGACTGTCCGAACGACCAAGACGAAGGAACGACGTCGTTGAAGATTAGGGTTTGGCCATCGGTGGTGGTGACAGAGAACGAGAGTGATTGGCCGTTGAGGAAAGCGTTGGACTGCCAATTGGCCCCCCAGTTTCGGGACATCTTCAACCAACCTGTCTTAGATCCTCTGATTGAGACAGAAGTTATGGAACCAGCTCCTCCAACGTTGGAGATCGTTACCAGCTCGAAGTAGTCTCTTCCGTTTATTGTGAATCTCACTCCTCCCTTCTTGTAACACGGAACTCTGTTTTTTTTTTTCAGTAACCCGTTTCATTGTATGGTTAGATTCATATATTGATTAAATATATAGAGATATACTTGCACAAAATTTATACATAAATGATCACAAGAATACCGTTATTATACGCTTATAGGATATAGTGTGTATATCAGTATATAGAGAGTGAGAGAGAGAGAAAAAACCTTTGGAAGAGGACGGGAATGATGCCGCCGCGATAGATACCGATCTTTTCCCAGGCGGGTTGGGCCATGTCGAAGTGTTTGAGTGGCGGATTGCACCAGCCGCCGGCATTGTTGGGGAGATCGAAATTGGGAGGGCAGAAATTGGTTGCCGTGACGATCACGAAAGCTCCTTTCTTACACCAACGAGGATCGGAGGAGGAGTCGCACGTGATCTTATAACACTCACCGCAGGATGCTCCGTTGTTGAACAAAGCCGTGCTCAACGCCGCCGTCATCGTTCCGTACCCTGTCGAGTACAGGTTTCCGTATCCACATGCCCCTCCTGCAGTTTGGTGTTTTCTTTTGGGTCAAATTAAATTTTTGGTTCGAGTTTAATTTTGGATGAACGATATGAGAAATTCGATCAAACCCAAAATTAATCTATGATCCAATTTTTAGAAAAAAAAAATTTATAAGAATGATATTTATTTATTTTAAATAGATATTTGTGATAGGAAATCTCGATATATTTTAAATATTTTAATAATTTATATACGATATTTACATAAATAACCGTAACAATGTTTTGCACTTGATGGTACGTTAAATTTGTAGAAGAGAACATATTTTTTCAACCAAAACAAAAGCCCAACACAACATTTAAAGGGGATTTCTACCAAAATCAATGGCTTTGGTTCGGGTTTATCGTTTGATTCTCTAGGTTTAGGGGATCCAAATGGAAATAGAAAATGAGATATAATCAATCAAAAATCAATACCCATTGTTCCAGAAGCGTCACTGCCTCCATAGAACGTAGCATGCCCGTTGGTTACCGCCGACGGCGAAAACGATTCAACGAAAATCGCAAGACACCAAATATCGATCAAAACCATGATTCCGATGCGAATCTTTGCCATATTTTCGATTCGAAGAAAGGAAGAAGAACGAAAGAAGAAGAAGAAGAAGAAGAGTTTGGTGGGTGCATAAGGTGAAGGGAAGAGAGTTGTTTAAATAAGGGGGAAAGTGTGTAGTAAGCATTCACATGTGATCTTCTCCTCATTTTCTTGGGTATCTCCATTTAATTAATATCTAAAATTTATTTTGTATTCTTTAATTAAAAAGTTGTTTTTTGAATCTCATTTACGTATATGTACAAATATTTTGAAAATCTTTTACTGTGGATCTGTAAATTTATCTATGATTTGAATATTGCCAAATAAGATGTCAATAAGCTGCATCTTTGATCATACTTTATACATATAAATTTCATTATTTACACGTCTAGTGAATACATTTTTTAAGCAACAAATCATAATTTCTCATCCTTTGAGGGATTACATGGGTGAACCCATTGATGAGTCACACGCCCCCATTTTCATAATTAATTTTTTTTTTTAAGTTTTATAAAATTTTAAACAATATTAAAATTAAGTTTACCATTATTGTTATCCCCGATTATAAATGACCTTTGTGATCATTTACATATTAGCTAACCTTTTACGTATGTATACATCTAACATTACGTGAAAAGATTCCGTGAATTGAATTAAATAATTTGGATTTTAATTTAGGGATTTAAATAATGGATGAAAAGACAAAGAGAGATCTGAACAAAATGAAAAAGGTTCAATAAAAACTCTCCATGTTAGTTCGTGGTTATCTGTCTGAAAGTCACATGGTTTTTCCCAACAGGAAACGAGCATTATTAGCAACATGCCAAATTGTGTTTTTTTAATTAATTTATTTTAATATATCTGCTTATATATGATCACCGTCCTTCCTCTTTGCTAATTTCACATGATGATGATGATGATGATGATGATGATGATGATGGTGATGGTGATGGTGATGATGATGGTAAAAGTAATAAACTTGCCATCTCGAGTTATTACTAGATAAATGATACAGTTGACTGGTAAGGTTTTTAATGAAATAAGTTGACGGTTGCAAGCTATCAAATAATTGCCGGAATTGTTGCTGATTTTGGTATGGAAATTGGAGCAAATTATTAGCTAAAAACAATTATTAGCTTTAATTATTGTAAAAAAAAAAATTGAGACTTTGGTTGGTAAGATTAGAAATTGATCGTAATTTCCGGTTCGTGCACATGTCTTTGATTTTGACGTTAGATGATGTGATGGATATATATATATATATATTTGTATGTGTGTATGTATGTATGTATATAATCCATTTAATTACACTCTTATTGTCTTTGTTAAGATTTGACAACTATGTTTATATATATATATATAAAAGTTTATTCCTTCCTAATACGGCACATGACATGTTGATTGCCAATCACAAAGTCCATTCATTAAATCACTATGTATTTTTTTTGTTTGTTAACCAAGAGGTTCACATGGCTTTCGGGCCAATCAACATCCTCTCAGGCTCGGGAGCAGGCTTTAGAGGCCCGATGATAGGGGCCTAGAGAGCAACACCCTCCCAACCGAGAAAACACCCCCTCCCTCCCCAACAGCTGGATTCGAACCGATGATCGGATTCCCGAGAGCAACACACTTTCAACAACTCGCCCACTACTTACTATGTATATATATATTCACATTCAACCAAAAAAATATTTTTTTTTTATTTTTTGAGAGAGAAAAAAAGAAGAAGCTATTTTAGCAGTTTCCTTTAAAGGTAGAGGTATCCATATTCGAATTTGGATTCAATTCTATAATTAGTCGACTCGATTCTATAAAAATTTATACTAGTCGATTATTATATAATATTCATTTTGATTGGAACTCGATTTAATTTTTGTTAAGAAAAATTATTTGTTTTAAAAAAAATTATTTTTTTAGTTTTAAAAAAATTTGGCGCCAAATCAGGTATAAAAATTTTGGTTCTCCAAAAGATACCGTTCTAAAATTTTAGACGGTTCAGCTAAAAAACGATACTAAATTTTTCGATCCGATACGATTCGATTCCGAAGAACAATATCAAAATGCCCACTACTTAGAACCATACTAAACAAATTTACCACTAAAAAAGTGGACAATTATCACTAGAAGACTTTAGCCGGAGAACAAAAAATTACATCAGCAAAAAAAAAATTCAACCGGCAAAATAATACCAGAAATTCAAACTAATAATTGGTGGTGCCATTTTTGCAAAAGCAATGACAACATATTAAAACCGGCATGGAATGGAAAGTATCTCTTTCGATAATGCAAATAAAACCCAAAGTGCTTAAACCAACAAAAGAAAAATCCACCACAAAAGAAGACAGAACAGACAGCTAAGTTCTTCAAGACGACAACAAGGGAGCAGGAGCTATGAGTGTCATCATTGTTCAGTCTTAAGTTCAGAAATCATCATCGTCATCCTCCGCCATGTGCTTAGCGAGCTCTTCCTCCTGTTGCTTCCTCTCCCTCCTCTTCTCATCACTCTCTTTCTCCTTGTGGGTATTCGGGGGAAACCTCAGTGCCCTCACTGCCTCATTGTGCATGTTCAGACAGAAGGCGATTCTCGAGTTAAACGCCATCTGGGGTTCGTTCGTTGAGTAGATGTCTCCCGTCTCTTTCGACACCATCCAGTTGTTCTTGTGGTCGATGGTCGCATCTATGGCTCCATCCCGAATGGCTTTGGCCACTATGCTTTCTGCATCTGCTACTGGGTTTGCAGAATTCAGCCTCAGCTTCTTGGCCACGTCTTCTAGCGAGATCCGGGAGTAGGATATGCTGATATTGCGTAACCCGGTTCTGATCACGTTGTGTCGGAGCCTGACTATCAAGTTGTGGGTCCTGTCCTTTGCAAATGTCTCAGTGAACCTCTCTTGCACTGTCCTGAACAGCTCCAAGTCACCAATCCTCACAGCCTGTTGAAACACAACATTAGATAATGCTATTTTAGCAGTTTAAGATTTAAGGTAACGGAAGAGAGATTTTGTAAAAGTGGAACTCACATTGGTAAGTTCAAAGTACGGCCTAAGAGCCTTCTCCATTCCCTTCTGGGTGAAGATTGATCGTTCGGGTATTTCACCCAACAGAAGACGGACTAGAACAGCCCACTTATTGCATTGAATTCTAAATCCCCGGGCTGCAACAGGCGCTTTCCTAGCAGCCTGTAAAAGACTCTCTTTTGCGTCGGTGTACTCAAGCTGAATCGTCCGGATCTTGCCAAGGTAAAACAGATACCTACAAAACTGCAAAGTATAGTGTGAGATGAATTCTTCTACCCAGGAAATAATATATGATGCCTTAAACCTAACTTATTGAGAATATATACGGTAAAACAAAGAGAATGTTCACGTAAAGCAAAGAAAACCAATGCAAAAAGCCACGATAGATAAGAGTTTGTAGGCATTAGTCAAGATACTTGTTGGTTTGAATGGGCCTCAAATCGAGGTGCCTTTGATCTCAGCTTCTCTGCTTGGTCATACAGATTGTAGTGCAGGTAGTTACGAAGCAACAGATTGAGGAGTGTTTCCTGCATTTAACACCATAAATGATCGAATAAGAATCATGAGAAAATTTCATAGAAATTAGGATTGACCAAAATTTCTAAACAACACACCTGACCCAACTCATCATGGCGTAATGTTGCGGAGTGATGCAAGGCGAGAAGAGCGCTGCAAACAAAAAACAAATCAATCGGATACATGAAACTTATGCAATTTAATCAACAATCTCTTCTTATTTCTCATTCAAAAAAATGCCCTCATGGAGATCATAGGATCAAGAATAAAATAAATAACAATTCTCTTAACAACCGACCTACGGATTTCAGCAAGATCACCCGTCATCTCATAACTTAAAGAGTAGTAGAAATACAGTCTTGAAGCGATAACATCAATAGTCCTCCTGTTTATGCTCTTGAGACGAGAAATGCTTGCTGAAGAGCAAGCTTTGGCCTAAAAGGCAAAAAGGAAAAACACATACTAAAATCTACACGACAGCAAGCTGACGAAGAAAGTAGCCAATAAAACCAAAGAGAAGAGGCAGTAACCTCGTTGTACTTTTTCTGATCAATCAGAAACAGAAGAACGATCAAGTAACAGTAAATCTCAAGCTCTGCAGACATGTGCTTGGAAGGAGCCTGGGCAGCCGAGGAAGCTGTATCAACTTCCATCTCATGTTCATCAACCTACAACCATAGATAGTAAATACGCCAGTGTCTATAGACATATCATTGCTCGAGATTAACGAACAAAATCTCAAAACACGATGTCAAGATTGGAAATAAATTGGGGGAGGGGGAGGGCGCTATTTGGTCACATTCATGAATTAGATGGCCAAATCGAACGATTGCCGAGACCTGTCAGCCTAACCAACATCAACTTCAAAATTCAACAGTTAACCGTCCATAGCTGAAAATGGGGCCAAAAGCCGATAACTAAACTGCGAAATGCCAAGTTCAATCCAATAAAAACTCATCATTCCGAAAGCATGCTTTGTAAAGTCCCAGACCACAGACCCTAAGCAGAACTATGAGGTGCATAACAAATGGAACAAATAACCTTGGGATTAAGGCGATGTTGATGTTGATGATGAAAGAACAAAATCCAAATGTACCTTAGGAACAAAAGAAGAGAGGCGAGAGTGAGCCTCAGATCCAGGAACCAAAGCGAAATCAAGGAACGAGGAGAGCACAGAACCGGTGAACTTTCGTCTCAGGCCCATCGTGAGACGAACAGCACGAGCAATACGACGGACCTCCTTGGTATACGAGCCGGTCTCGATCAGCGAAGCTATCTCCTTCAAATCTGTGAATCAAGAGCATCCAGATTATGAAACTATGAGCGTTCTAGCTCAAGACGGGCACCCTAAGAACCCTAGCAATGAGTAAATTTCATGAATTGAAGAGCTGGGATCGAGGGTTTACTTTGCAAAGTGGAGGTAGCAGCAGTGACAACGGACTGAGAAGGGGTTTGATTTTCTTTCATTTCCACGTCCTGAGTCATCTTCGCACCGAAATCTCTGCGTTCACCATCAGAAAACAGGAAAGAAGGGTTATTAGGGTTTTTTGCAGAACAAAACCAACACGTCCAGATCTTCCCGGATTCTTCCAACTTTCGGGCGGTTACCCAAATGAGAAACAGATACACAGAGAAAGAGAAAGCACAAACTTGATCCAACAGATCTTCAAAGAGGAGGAGAGAAGACGATGAGGCTCGAAGCTGCAGCTGAATTTGCTTCGCTAATATGCTTTTCTCCTACAGAATCACACTTTTCTTTTTGTTCAAGACAAAACAAAGATTACCCTAAGTTTACGATAATTTTTGCGTTAGCAACAAAGTCGTTGTAGTATAGTGGTGAGTATTCCCGCCTGTCACGCGGGTGACCCGGGTTCGATCCCCGGCAACGGCGAATTTTTTTTAAAATTTTGATTAAATTGTACGACGTCGTTTACTTAATGGGCTTTTATCTTGAGCCTCTTATTTCAAATGGACTTCACACCTCATTTTCTACCCCCAATTCAAGAATCATAATCTTTTAAGCCTGTGATTAAAAGAAAACCACCCTTATTTTTTTCTTTAATAAAAAAAAAATACAATATATATTATATAAGCCAACATACTCCTTATTTTCATCAGTCCCAAACTCACAGAGAGAGATCTCTCCGCCCATCTCCAAGATTAGGTTTCTTGTTTCGATCCACGACAGCAATGGCGACTAGTAGCGGAAAGATCAGGCTCAAGAGCATGGAGGGTCACTTGTTCGAGATCGAGAGGGACGCGGCCATGTTGTCTCCTGTGTTAAGCCACGTGATAGAAGACATCGTCGACAAAGCTTCTTCTTCTTCTTCTGTCGTAGTTCCAGTCTTCAATGGCACGACCAAAACCCTAGCGAAGATCGTAGAGTACATGAAGAATCATGCAGAAAACAAAGATCAAGAGCGAACGAAGTTGCGATCCCCGGCAACGGCGAATTTTTTTTAAAATTTTGATTAAATTGTACGACGTCGTTTACTTAATGGGCTTTTATCTTGAGCCTCTTATTTCAAATGGACTTCACACCTCATTTTCTACCCCCAATTCAAGAATCATAATCTTTTAAGCCTGTGATTAAAAGAAAACCACCCTTATTTTTTTCTTTAATAAAAAAAAAATACAATATATATTATATAAGCCAACATACTCCTTATTTTCATCAGTCCCAAACTCACAGAGAGAGATCTCTCCGCCCATCTCCAAGATTAGGTTTCTTGTTTCGATCCACGACAGCAATGGCGACTAGTAGCGGAAAGATCAGGCTCAAGAGCATGGAGGGTCACTTGTTCGAGATCGAGAGGGACGCGGCCATGTTGTCTCCTGTGTTAAGCCACGTGATAGAAGACATCGTCGACAAAGCTTCTTCTTCTTCTTCTGTCGTAGTTCCAGTCTTCAATGGCACGACCAAAACCCTAGCGAAGATCGTAGAGTACATGAAGAATCATGCAGAAAACAAAGATCAAGAGCGAACGAAGTTGGCGAAAGAGAAGTTGGAGTTCGTCGAAGGGTTCGAGGACATGGACGAGCTGCTGGATGTTATGAACTTGGCTTCGTATTTGGACTTGTCGGTTTTGCTTCGTCTGGTCGCGGCGAGAGTTGCGTTTGTGATCAACGATATGACGGTGGAGGAGATTCGTTCTCTCTTCAAGATCCAAGGAGATTACACGGTGGAGGAAGAGGCGGAACTCGGGACTGCATGGGCTTTCTAGAAATGATCATATCGGTCGTATGCTATAGGATTCGCATTATACAAAGTATAAAGATTAGGGTTTTTTTTTTTGGGACTTTTTTTTTCTTGTGGGTTTTCTTTCTCTGTCATTAGACTGTAACCATTTGGTTAATGTTCTCATTGTATAAAGATTAGGGTTTTCCATTTTTTTTTCTTGTCATTGGACCGGTTAACAATGGCTATCAAGAGAGATTATATCAAGAATATCTTGAAAGGTTATATTAATATTAATATTATATATAAAGATTAGGGCTATGTAATCGGAATATCAACATTGCACCGGTTAACAATGGCTAATCATCTGAACCGGAAAGTGGTGTTTAACGTCATACATTACAAACGCTTTCAAGGAAAACTAAAAGAATAAACTGTTCCATCACATTAACAATTTTTTTTATAAAAAAAAAAACCCAAAAGTTGTGTTCTGCCTAAAAAAACAATGAACATATGTTAAAAAACCTAATGTCTTCTTAACAAAACTCAAAGTCACAGATAATAATTTGTATCATCAAACGGAAAACAGATCAAAAGATGCAGAAGGGCATTATCCATTTGATGATAAGCACAACCTCGACTCAGGCAGCTGCTTCGATAGACGGGCCGTTAGATCTGTTGAATCCACCTCGGCCTCGCCTTCCGCGTCCACGTCCTGTCCATATCAATATATTTCCCACCGTTATTGAAGATTTAACTTTTCAGACAAACTCACTTCCTAGTCAGTTGCCCAAATCCTACTTTCAGAGAGCTTTATACACTTCAAGAAATAGAACTAGGGTTTTGAAGGGTCATCATCATACCGCGACCTTGAGGAGGTGCATCGTATCCATAACCTCCGTCCTGCTGCATCTCATACTGTGGCCCACTACTGTATCCTCCTCTTCCCCGACCACGAGACCCTCGTCCTCTTCCACGACCCCTTCCCCGACCATATCCCGGGCTATGATCCCAACCTCCATCTTCATATTCTGCATTCATAAATCCATTCCCTAAAAAGACGAAAATTTGGTAAGCAATTCCAATTGTTGAATGTTGACCATTGATGAGTGTAAAAACATAACGATTCCTAAGCCAGATTCCTACCTCTGCTACTTCTTCCCCTTCCTCTGCCCCTTCCTCCCCTGCCTCTAGGTGATCCTTATGGGGAAAAAAACACAAGGGCAACTTTATAAACCTGCGGGTGAGCTTCTGAAAATGTCATTACCAGAGAAACAGTAATACCTCGTCCTTCATAATCGTTTTCAACAGATGGTGAAGGTTTCACCAATTCAACAGGAATTGGTTGCTGGTATCTGCAAAATTATTCGACAAAAAAATTATAAGCATAAAAGAGATGCTTAACACTCTACCCCATAGAACCAGGGAGACAACTTATACATTTTTACACTGTTTCTAGATTTAAAAATGACAAAATATGACTCAACTTATCCCATAATTTACTTAAGGGCAAGCTAAATCTCTTGATAGATTTTTGTTCGAGGCATGAGACAAACCAATAATAAGTTATAAGCAAGAACAAAATAGGTACTAGAAGCTTACCCGACTGAGGATGTATTCAGCTCGTTCTTGGATAGGGTTATGGTTATCACTGAAACATGCCTTGTGGTCTCCAAGCTTCAAAAGCGAAAAGAAAGAAAGAAATAGCATATCATAATAAAGCTAAATTAACATTAAATACGAATTGAACCAAGCTAGATCTAGATAAACATCCACTGCAATTAGAACACATCTAGAGTCTCCTTACGGTAGAAGGCCTTCTTCTAGAGGTTCCCATGTATCTGTGATGTCTGTGGATCCAATAGATGTGTTCTGATGAAGACCAGCAATCCTTCTCTGCATTACAGATACCGGGCATATTTTAAAGTTCAATCCATCGTCAGAATCACCAAATGTTACCGTTCAGAAAGGACAAAAGCCGACAATACCTTGACCAGCTCCACTATATTCACAGTCTTATTGATAGCCCTTCCCATTGCCTTGAAGACAACTTCGTTTGAACCTTTTTCCTGAATAAATGACGGGATTTCGGAATAAGCATAACGAAAGCAGAGAGGAGAACAGAAAGAAGAGTTGAAACTATCCCTGAGAACATCAATCAACCGCCAATTCAGAGGAGAGAATCCATGACAGTACTTTCCAATCAATATCACATGATAAAAGGCAAAAGCTTTTATGTAGCTGAACTTAATAAACAGAAACAAAAAGCACCATTATAAGATCCATATCCTACAGTAATACCAAGTCACCTTTTTTTTCCTTCTAAACTACCAATTAAATAAAGTGCAAATCGAAATCTAGATTACCAAATAAGAGCAAAATCCCATCTTTCTGCCTACCTCCAGTCCCAACATGGTAAGCTCTACCGTTCTAGATTCCAAATCTTTGTCACCGAGAAGCATAAACCCTAAACCATATATCCCAATACCAACGAAACAATCTAGAAACCTCTCTAATCAAAATAATAGACGACATCGAGTATACACCAAATCAGATTTAGCAAAGGGCCAAGAAGAAGAAGAAGAGGAGAAATCAAATCACCTGAAGAAGAGTCATGGCGTAGGTGATGTAGTTTCGCGCCCTTCCTTGACTAGTGATACGAATCTCGTTCTCGCCAATCGGCGTCTCCGCCTTCGGCTTCTCCACTCGCTGATATCGGTCCATCTGAAACAACACGGAATCAGAACACGAAGGCTAATTCCATGGACGACCCACCAAAACGGGTGAAGAACAAAAGCGAAACTAGGGTTTTGCTTCGAATTGTTCCGTTGTTGCTCAGATTACTTTACCTTGAGCAATGCTTGTGCTTTCAGATTTTCGCCGGACCTGTAGAAGATTCAAAGGAAGCGAGAATAGTGGTTACCCCTCTCTGCACGGACCCGGTTCTTCTGAAGCGCTCCAACTGCAGGCGCTTCTCTGATATATATAGCAGTCGAACCGCTTCTCCTCCACACGCGCACACCTCATGCAAGTACCCTAACCGGTTTCCAGTTCAGTTTTTTCTCTAAACCGAACCGAACCGATAAAATGGCCATGACGATATTATATATAAAAATCTATTTTGTACCGAATTAAATCGACAATTTTATGTTATATAAACCTATGCGATTTACGGGTTTCGACCGGAAAGGAAACTGGATTTGCTTATGGAATTTGATTGGTGTTCGATTTAGATGAACCGGATGATTGAATCGGGTTTAGGTTGGTCGCGTCACACATCTTGATCTTGGGATAATCTCTTTGGAGATTTATCCAATGGAAAAAGTCTAAATGATGAAAAAATATAAATTTCAAAAATAAGCCCAAATCTACACGTTATTTTGTAGAAAATTGCTGGTTATCAGTCTCACAAAGCAACTAAAAAAAATAAGGGACCCTATTTTATATTATTTTTTAGAACGTGTCTCTGACATTTTTTCCAGAAAATTAATTAAAAATAAGTAAAATAATTTATAATTGTTTTTAAAGAAAATAAATGTATCACTTGACACGTCCCCTGGGGTCAATTTGCAAAATGTATTTATAGTAAAACCCTCAATTGACGTGGACCTATATAACGTGAGAAGCATTTGAGACGTCTAGAAAGTTCTATTTGGCACGTAGATGCCGAATCAATTTAAACCAAATAACATTTAATTATAATTAAATCGATGTAAAAAAAAACTAGTAGGTATTTTCTGACACTTTTATTAATACCCAAAATTTTTACTCCGACCAATCAAAAGACTACAGGAAAGAGAGAAAACCGATCAAGAGTGGTAATTGCGGGTATTATTGGGTTTTCGTCTTGCCGAAGAAATGTATTGTAAAGATAAACGCCATGTGTTCGGCTTTTCTTTGAAAGGGTTCGGTAGAGATCCACGGAGGTGCGGAAGTGGCTTGGGACAGAGTTACCTCGCCGAAAACCGAAGATGGGTTAGAACTTTAGAAAGATTGATACATGGAATGCACTGATAGAAAACACGAAAAGAGTGATGTAAAGATTTTACGTCATTAAAAAGGCGCGGTATGTCTCTTGGATGTTGATGATGTACAAATCCGATTGATAAATGATAAAGAGAAGGAATCCTTCTTTGCTCGAGATGTTTGGAACATGCTTAGGCGGGGAATCATAGAGTTGACTGGTGCAAAATCATTTGGTGTAAATTTAATATGCTAAAACATTCTTTTCTCACATAGTTGCTTACGTTCGTCTGCTGTCTAGTAGATATCGTATGTTTTTATGAGATATTTCGCTAGATCCAAACTTCTTGTTTTGTCAGAAAACTACGGAAAGTAGATACCATATTTTCTTTGAATGCTCAATGACTAGTGACCTATTGCATCATGCTTTGAGAAAGTTCGGACAAATACCAGAAGTGTTTACTTGGGATAATTTGTTTGCCTACATGTCAAGGCGATGAGACGGTAAAATCATGTTTTGGACCTCTTGCAACATATGACGGCTCGTCGTTTATATAATATGAGGTGAAAGGAACTCGAAGATATACAATGCACGGTTTAGGGAACTATTCTACAAAGACATCGACAGAGGTTTTCGATCCAAGATGACCGGATTACGAATTACTCATCCGGAACTTGCGAGTTATCTACTACGCCAATTGTTTCTATGACCTTTAAATTATCTAGTTCTATAAAAAAAAATTTATAACTAGAAGATTTACTGAGCCATTCGAATCTCTTCCTTTCTCTCGCTTTCCCTATGTGGATCCATTTTTGGAAACGAAGAGATTGTTGATTGAGAAGCTGCTAGCAACGGTCAGGATTGCTCGGACGCTCGCTCTCTGAATCCCCACCGTTGATCTCGTATGCGCTGACGTGGCAGAATCTGCTAGTTTTGGTTTTGGTCGGGATCTGTGGTTTTTCTTCCGTGTAGTTCGACAAAGGCGGGAAAATTCGAGTTTCCAAGAGATGACAAAACAAGTTCGCCATCTGTTCGAGAAAATCCCCCAACCGGTTCTTGCCTTCTTAGAATCTTCTTCATTTTCGTCTCTCTCGAAGACGAGACAAGTTCATGCTCAGATTATCAAACACGGAGCTCAGGATTACGCCATTTTCGCCACCAATCTCATAGCTTCGTACTCGAACCACCATTGCTTCGCCGATGCAGAGCACGTCCTCGGATCAATCCAGGAGCCCACCGTTCACTCTTTCTCCCCTCTTATCTACGCGTTGAACAGATATAATCACTTCTCGCAGTCTATTCGCGTGTTTTCTCGGATGATGTCTAATGGGGTGTCTCCGGATACTCGCGTTCTTCCGAATTTGTTCAAGGCATGTGCTGGGTTATCAGCTTTAGAAGTTGGGAAGCAAATTCATTGTATAGCTTGCGTGTTGGGATTGGATTTGGATCCTTTTGTTCAGGACTCTTTGTTCCATATGTACATGAAATGCGATAGGATGGGGGACGCACGCGAGGTGTTCGATAGAATTTCGCAGAAAGATGTTGTCACTTGCAGTGCTCTGCTCTGTGGCTATGCACGAAAGGGTTGTTCAGACGAGGTGATGGGTCTACTTGTGGAGATGGAAAAGTTGGGTGTGGAGCCGAATTTGGTGTCCTGGAACGGTATACTTTCTGGGTTTAATCATATCGGGTGTCACAAAGAAGCAGTCATGATGTTCCAAAAGATGCATTCTGAGGGGTTTTGCCCTAACGAGGTGACAGTATCGAGCATTCTTCCTGCGGTTGGGAACTCGGAGAAGCTGGATTTGGGGAGACAGATTCATGGGTATGTCACCAAACAGGGGTTGATAAAGGATAAATGTGTTGCCAGTGCAATGGTGGATATGTACGGGAAATGTGGCTCCGGCTATGAAATTTTGAAGCTTTATGATGAAATTGAGCTCAGGGAAACCGGTGTCAGCAATGCTTGCATTACAGGGCTCTCACGGAATGGTCTTGTCGATAAGGCACTTGAAATGTTCGAGTTATTCAAGGAACAGAAGTTGGAGTTAAATGTCGTGTCTTGGACGTCAATAATAGCTGGGTGTGCTCAGAACGGGAAGGATATTGAAGCCCTAGAGCTTTTCAGAGAGATGCAGGTTGCTGGGGTAAAACCAAACTCTGTGACGATCCCTTCAATGCTGCCAGCATGTGGAAATATAGCGGCTTTGATTCACGGGAAAGCGGCTCATGGATATTCTGTACGGGCCGGGACCATGGACGACGTTCATGTGGGCAGTGCATTGATTGACATGTATGCCAAATGTGGAAGAATCAACATGTCTCAGCTCATTTTTTTTATGATGCCCACAAAAAATTTAGTTTGTTGGAATTCTATGATGGCCGGATATGCAATGCATGGGAAGTGCAGTGAAGTCATAGGTATATTTAACTCTCTCCGGAAAACTGGACTAAAGCCTGATTTCATCAGCTTTACTTGTTTATTAGCAGCATGCAGCCAAGGAGGTTTAACAGATGAAGGGTGGAAATATTTCAACATGATGTCAGAGGAATATGGAATCAAACCAAGATTAGAGCATTATGCTTGCATGGTGAACCTTTTAGGACGAGCCGGGAAATTGGAAGAGGCATATGACATGATAAAGGGGATGCCTTTCGAGTCAGATGCCTGTGTATGGGGAGCTTTATTAAGTTCTTGCAGGGTTCACAACAATGTGGACTTGGGGGAAATCGCTGCAGAAAACCTCTTCAAGCTAGAACCTGAAAACCCTGGGAATTACGTCCTCTTATCCAATATCTACGCTTCTAAAGGAATGTGGACAAAAGTAGACATGGTAAGGGACATGATGAAGAGCCTGGGACTGAAGAAAAACCCGGGTTGTAGTTGGATTCAAGTGAAGAACAAACTCCACATGCTTCTTGCAGGTGATAATACACATCCTGAGATGAATCGGATAACAGAGAAGCTAGTTGAGATCGGCATGGAGATGAGAAAATCGGGTTATCACCCGAATTTGGATTTCGTGCTTCAAGACGTGGAAGAGCAAGAGAAAGAGCACATACTCTGCGGTCACAGCGAGAAACTAGCCGTTGTTTTCGGCCTATTGAACACACCGAAAGGTACTCCTCTTCAGGTGATAAAGAACCTTAGGATATGTGGTGATTGTCACTCTGTCATTAAATTCATTTCAGGATATGCAAGTAGAGAGATTTTTGTTAGAGATACCAATAGGTTTCATCATTTTAGAGATGGGCATTGTTCCTGTGGAGATTTTTGGTGAAGTTTTCTCTTTTTTTTTTAGTTTTATATCCTCTTGTTCTTGTTTAGGGAAGGAAAACAATGTTGCCAATTTTGATACAAAGATTTTGTTGTATAGTAAACAATTTAGATTTAATCATTAGAGTTTATGTAACATTTTATATTTTTTTTATTTTCAAAACATAAGAAATCCTTAAATTCCAATAATAATGTGTATTTTTACTAGTTATGAATCTGTGTTAACTCCATGAAGGAAATATTTGTCTTCCAACACACAAATAGAAGAACCATTCGTGATGATAACATATAATGGCAACTACATATATTAAAATACGATTATTATGTTTTATTCAGCTTTTAAAATATTACATCTATCAAAGTTTCATTATCGTTTTAGAGAAATATGCATGAATCATACATTTTTCTTTTTTCATATGATGAAGATTTCAATTCTGCGATAGAAAAAAAAATAAAAAGATATCGTTTTTTTAATATGTCTAGATTGTCAATAAATATTATGTAAATAGATATTATAATCTTCTTCTAATATGTTCAGTTACAATTGAAATGAATATTATGGCAATTGATTTTTTCATTTGTGTTTAATATAGATTTTTAAAATCAAATTAATTAAACTAAATAAATATAAAATAATTGAAAAAAGAATTAAATTAAAATATTTTAGAAATAACATAATAATATGGAATACAAAGAAGATTTTTGTATGAATAAAAATATAATATAAAATTAATAAATAAAAAATTTAAAATAAAAAATAAATACAAAATCTAAAATAAGGGGGAACAAAATCGAAATGTCTAATCCTTTTTTTTTTTATTTTCCGTAAAAAAAAAACAGATATCTCGCAACCACGTTTTATCAGACTGCATCCGCATAGTTTATTGTTTACAAACTCATAATTCTCTCTGTGGTTTGAGTCTAATCGTTCCTGGTACGTGTTCTGTGATTCATGAGATCTTTCTTTCAATTCGATCGTCGCTCCGAATTCATCACTAGCGGATTATTCCTATTAAGTCGTGTTATTCGATCGAATTTTCCACTGATTTTGATCTCATTTGGGATATCTGTGTTCCCGCGTCGTGATTGTTTCAGGAATTGTGCTCTTGGAGAGCGACGTGATCGGTTTGTTCTGTGGAAATGGGGGCGAAGACTAAGGATATCGACATGGCGGAAGGAACTCTCGAGATCGGCATGGGTAACTCTCTGATCACATGGATCATTTATGAGTTTCGGTTTCGACCAATGATGGAACTCTCTCTAGGGTTTGTAGTATCCTGGTTGAGAATCCACTGACGATCTTCGGTCAGAACTTCTCCGGTTGGAGGAACGGATAAGAAATGGTGACCTCCCGGGGGTTTTGTTTGGGGGGTTGGGATTATGCAATTTGATTAGCATGTAATCGGGATAAATTAGAACATAGTATATGGAATTCTCGATTTTAGGGGAGGTTTTCAAATTATATGCACATTCCTTTGCTTTTGGATTGAATTAGGGGTTTATTTCACGTTATTTTGGGTGATCTAAACCTTGGAAAATGGAGGATTTTCAAGTTTATAGCAGCTTATTTGTTTCAGTCCCGAGTTCAGTCAGCATATAGTTGTTGTTCAGAGCCCTTTTTGCTTAATGGGCTTCATGTAGAACCGATCCTTGTCTGTCCTGCCTTACAATTTTCACGTGTAGGATCTTCATAAGGGCATAGGGGATGGTTTTATCCTCTTCACTTTGTTATGGGCATGGATGTTTCCTCGTGTAAATGGAATTTAGTGCAAATTAATTGCAACTGTTGGTTAGGCAATTAATCACGGATGCAATTGTATACCTTTCATAGTGCATCTTATCCTTGTAGAAGACCGAATGAATCTTCTTCTCTTTTTTTTCAATCACAGAGTATAGAACTGTTTCTGGTGTTGCCGGGCCCCTGGTCATCCTTGACAAAGTGAAGGTAGAAAGAGACACCTCTAGATGCTTTGGCATTAAGTATGCTAGTTTTCTTTGGTTGGAATGATTTACCGACTGATTTGGATCCTGTTTTAACTGCGTTATATATCAGGGTCCGAAGTACCAGGAGATCGTTAATATTCGCTTAGGAGATGGAACAATGAGACGTGGTCAGGTTTTGGAAGTTGATGGGGAAAAAGCGGTTGTGCAGGTTAAGTACTTTCCACATAACTTGAGTTTGAGTTTGAGAACAGTATTGTGAATCTTGACATAAAAACAACGTATGCATAATGCTATTAAGCTTGTTTACCTCGTTAGTTGTCCTCAGTGATTCCCTCATCTATGCATTTCAGGTTTTTGAAGGAACATCTGGAATTGACAACAAGTTCACCACTGTGCAATTCACAGGAGAGGTTTGTACTTTGAAGTCTTCGCTCCTTCAACATATTTGGTTGTGCTGGGAGGTTGGGAAACTAAGGAGTTGGTTGCTTACAGCTCTTTACTCTTGCAATCGATGTATTTTTCAGGTTTTGAAAACACCTGTGTCATTGGACATGCTTGGGCGCATATTTAATGGGTCTGGAAAGCCAATTGATAATGGCCCTAATATTTTGCCTGAGGCATACCTTGATATTTCTGGTGAGCATCAAAGGTTGACTGCGCCATTGAGTGAATCTCTAGATCTAAATTTCATCGTTTCTTTTCTAACCTTATAAGTACCCAACTTTTATAGGAAGTTCTATCAACCCCAGTGAGAGGACCTATCCTGAGGAGATGATACAGACAGGAATTTCTACCATTGATGTGATGAATTCCATTGCTCGTGGACAGAAGATTCCTCTTTTTTCCGCCGCTGGTCTGCCTCATAATGAAATAGCAGCTCAAATTTGTCGTCAGGCTGGTCTTGTCAAGCGGCTGGAAAAGAGTGATGACCCACTTGGGGTATTCATTTTGTCCCATTACTCATTAGTGCTACTAGATTATCCTTTTTCACAAGTATCATGTCAAAGTATACTGTTTTTGTGGAATTATCTTTGTTTGAATAATATGGCAGCGACTTTTGAATCCATAAAGCAGTTATTTGAGCGATTACATTGCGTTTTAATGAATGTGTAGTACTTCTAAAATTTATTATTTTTGCGATGCCATTTGTTTTTATGCTCTTCAGACTACTGGAAGAGAGAATATTCCGGTAGGTGGAGATTTCGGTGCACTTTCGTTTTCCTCGTAAATGCGTGACTCTTTTCCCTTGTTGTCGTTCAGGATCAGCAAGAGGACAATTTTGCAATTGTCTTTGCAGCTATGGGAGTAAACATGGAGACAGCTCAGTTCTTCAAGCGCGATTTCGAAGAGAACGGGTCAATGGAGAGAGTTACCCTTTTCCTAAACCTGGTAATTCACTGAATAGTTACCCTTTTCCTTTTCCTAAGCTCGTCTTTCTTTGTACAAATATCCCTCGATGATAGATTGACCTTAATTCTGCACCCGCGCTTTAACAGGCCAACGACCCAACCATCGAGAGAATTATCACTCCTCGAATTGCCCTCACAACAGCAGAATACTTGGCTTATGAATGCGGGAAGCATGTTCTCGTTATATTGACAGATATGAGTTCATATGCAGATGCGCTTCGTGAGGTAATAAATTTTAAGTCCAGTTTACACCGTATTCCAGACACTGTTTTCTCACATTTTTTCTGGTGCAAAGAGCTTCAATGATTAATTTTTTCGATCTAGATTGTTGAAAGTTTTATGCATGTGTTATCTAAGGATTACTTCAGTCATATTCTAATGCTTGGAGAACTATAGGTTTCGGCTGCCCGAGAAGAAGTTCCTGGAAGACGTGGATATCCGGGTTACATGTATACTGATCTTGCAACTATTTATGAGCGTGCTGGGCGAATTGAAGGAAGAAAAGGTTCCATCACTCAAATTCCCATCCTGACTATGCCCAATGATGGTAAAATCATATCAGTCAACACTTCATGATATAACTCAACTCACTAATCCTTTGTAGTTTACTGTTTGATTGAGCAAAGCTAGTAACTGATTTTGTCCTAAAACTCAGATATCACACATCCTACTCCGGATCTCACTGGTTATATTACCGAGGGTCAGATATATATTGACCGGCAGCTCTACAATCGACAGGTGAGCGGAGATTTAACCTCAACTTCACTGTTTGCAGTATCTTCTTTCGATCTGATATTCCTTTCTCGATAAACATTAAGTGATACAAGCTGATTTCCTTTGTTCTTTACTGAACAGATATATCCACCCATAAACGTGCTCCCATCCCTTTCTCGGCTTATGAAGGTAACATTCCATTTTATCGTATCGTCACATCCTTTTTCAAACTCTACAGGCCCATGTGTTTATTAATTTATGATCGATCATTCACTATGCAGAGTGCTATTGGTGAGGGAATGACCCGTCGAGACCACGCTGACGTGTCCAACCAGGTAACTACTATTATCCCATGGACCTTACCATGGCGCCTTTCTTGTTGTTTTTCTTTTCAGAGCTTTGTTCCTTACAATAGACAATGTTTTACCGACAGCTATATGCAAACTATGCCATCGGGAAGGATGTTCAAGCCATGAAAGCTGTGGTCGGAGAAGAAGCACTTTCTTCTGAGGATCTGGTATCTCTCTCACTTCCCGCTCTCTATACATGCATATGCATAACATCATACACCAAAATATGTTGGGTATCCGAGATTTTCGGGTTATTCGTCCAAACCCGAACCCGCTTCAAGAGATTTCAGTAGATAAGACACACAAAAATGTCATTTTACTGTTCATTCAGGACTTAATTACTTGAACCTGAAACCGGGGTTTTCTTCACGCTATAGCCTGATCTCATCTCATTTAATGCTCTGGTACCCATCCTGTGGATTGGATTGGATATCCGAAATTCAGGGGGGGGGGGTTCCCAGCCCTATACCTAACCCCACATAACTGCAGGCTTGTATGTTATTGTACCTATAGATTTTAGATACAGTTGCTGCATTCTTTCTAACATCATCTCTAACCGACCCGCCATTGCAATTCTAGATTCGCCTCTTAAGTGTACTGACCATGTTAGTTTCTATTCCGTAAACCATTGCAGCTTTATCTGGAGTTTCTCGACAAATTCGAGAGGAAATTCGTGGCACAAGGGGCATACGATACCCGGAACATATTCCAGTCGCTGGATTTAGCGTGGACGTTGCTTCGGATCTTCCCCCGGGAGCTTCTCCATCGTATCCCCGCTAAGACCCTCGATCAATTCTACAGCCGCGACTCGGCCTCAGGCTAAGTCCTCCTCCTCCTACTCTGTAACATTCCTTCTCCGGTCAGTGTATGAAAACCACCGTATTTGCCTGTTTGGGAGAAGAAAACAAATTGGTTTCAAGTCTAAAATCACAAAACGAGTGTGTGTTTTTGGAACATTGTTCTCAGTTGTGTACTTTATTTATAGCTCTGTGTTGTGTTCCTGAGACTTGGGAGGAGAAAGATTTTCTTCTTTTACATCTCAATGTATTTCTTGGTGTTTTGTGATTGGTATATTGCTCTTTCAAAACATTAAGACTCTATTTCCTGTTTTAATCCAAATCATTTCGATATTATTTCTCTGTTCGTTCTGTATACTACTAGCTATACATTTGTGAATTCACCTTTGTATGTGTTTTCGGATTTTTTTTCCGAGTTATCATATCACCTGGACAAAAAGAAAATGGTAAATTGTTTGAAACTAATCTATTTATAAATTAATTTTTCATTCAACTAAATGTATCGAGAAACATTTAGTTTGTTTTATATATATAATTTATGTGCTTTTTATTAGAATTAAATTCTTAAGTTTATAAAATATTTATTTATGTTGTGAGTGTATTGGATAATTTGAGATGAATTGTAAATATTGTTAATAATTATTGATAAAATAATATTTATGTTGATTTTGTGGGCCGGTGGAAAAATCACTGAAATGGGCTTCTTTCTAAGGCGACGACTCCATTAATTGTGGTCAACGACAAAGACTTTACAACCGCAATTTTTGTCTGAGTCGCAGAAAATCGACACATGTCCCAACCGCCACATGCAAACTACGAACAGGGATTACTATTATCGTTCATAACATAAAAATCGAATTTATGTAATTTTTGCAATATGGAAATAACCATTATAAAACACTTGAATCAAAATATAATAGAAAAAAAATATATGGTTTAGGTTTTAAGATATTTTTACAAGTTTTTCGATAAATACCCGTGTACAGTAAATGGGTAATAAATAATAATAATAACAACGTAACTAATAAAAATACCCATGAGGGAAAAAAAACCAATAACAATATTAGAATTTAGAGGTCAAAACTTTTGAACGTGTTGATTACTTTTGAGCGAAGGCAAAAAAGAGAGAGGGCGAAGAAAGACATCTCTCTCTCTCTCTCTCTCTCTCTCTCGTGGGACAAAACTCAACGAAGCTGCAAAGAATTATACTCCACACCCACCACCACACAAACCAACCCCATCACGCACAAGCAAAGCACCCTAATTAATAATAATAATAATCTTATGAATATGATATTTTAGAACCTAATATCATAATCACTAGTGGAAAATATTTGCATGATTAAAGTCTAATTCCGGTGAATTTTCTAATTATAAAAAAATATATATCATAATTTCACTATTAAAAAAAAACAAGTATCCTATTTAATTGAGAAGATGGTCAATTTGAGGAGGAGAAGATTATAGTCTAACTGGTTTTGGACTTATAATTCTTTGAATTGAACCGGTTGTTATTTTCATCGGTTATTCCAATATTCCGAAACCGGTTCATAATCTTTTTGGACATTGAAATGTGTATATACATTTCTGCGTTGAGAGTTAGCTATCAAACTCAATATACTTTAATTGGAAAAATGGGAACTGGGAATTATGTAACAGTTTGTATATACCTTAAATGGGAAATGGGTATAATGTAAACTAAGCATCCTATTTAATTCCAATGACTTTTATGTCCAAAATAATACTATTATTAAAGGCTAAAACCCCTAAAAAACCTCAACTTGCAAAAATATATACAAATAAACCTTCAACTTGAAAGTCATTCAATCCCCGAACTTGTAATTTGTCAAAATATATACAAATAAACCTTCAACTTGAAAGTCATTCAATCCCCGAACTTGTAATTTGTCACTGAATAAAATCTCGAATTTGCAAATTATTGCTCTAATAAACCTTTGACCGGTTTGATCACAATTTCAAGCGATCGGAAATCCACGTATTAACGGATTGCTGATGTCACCTTATACATATTATCAATTTAGTTTAAAAAATGACATCAGCAATCCGTCAATATGTGGATTTCCGATCGTTTGAAATTGTGATCAAACCGGTCAAATGTTTATTAGAATAATAATTTGCAAGTTCGAAGTTTTATTCAGTGACAAGTTACAAATTCGGGGATTGAATGACAGTTTTTCAAGTTGAAGATTTATTTGTATATATATTTGCAAGTTGGAGTTTTTTAGGGGTTTTACCCTCAATTGTAAGATATAAAAGTATTTATAATTTTTTTCAAAAAACTTTACATTTATCATAAAATAAATTTTAATAAAGAAAAGTTGACAAAAAAAAAAGGACAGAAACCTTCTTCCTCTGCTCTCTCACATGTTCAAAAGCCTCCATAGATCACAACTTTGTAACGCCAAAAAAAAAAACTTTCAGAGAAGAAGAAGAAGAACATCATGGGATTCTGCTTCTCCAAATCACAAACCCATGAAATCCCAATCTCTTCGTCTTCCGATTCTACCCCTCGCCACCACTACCAACCTCTCCCTAAACGGACACGTCCTCAGGGGCAAAACAGTGATTTCACCCCTCACCACCGTCCTCCTCCTCCTCCGAACCCAGCTCCTCCTCCGCAGCAGGCGACTTCCTCCGCCGCCTCATCCCTAATCGGCCCGATTTTGGGCCGACCCATGATCGAAATCTCCGCCCTTTACGATCTCCACCGCGAACTAGGGCGCGGCCAGTTCGGGATAACGTACCTCTGTACGGACAAATCCAACGGCAGGGAATACGCCTGCAAGTCGATCTCGAAGCGTAAGCTTGTCCGGAACAAGGACATTGAAGATGTCAGACGCGAGGTCATGATTCTTCAGCACCTCACTGGTCAACCGAACATTGTTGAGTTCCGAGGCGCTTATGAAGACCGAAACAATCTTCATCTGGTGATGGAGCTCTGTTCGGGTGGGGAGTTGTTCGATCGGATCATCAAGAAGGGGAGTTACTCTGAGAAAGAGGCTGCCAAAATTTTCAGACAGATTGTCAATGTTGTTCACGTCTGTCATTTCATGGGGGTTATGCACAGAGATTTGAAGCCCGAGAATTTCTTGCTTGTTAGTAAGGAAGATGACTCTCCGATCAAAGCCACCGATTTCGGGCTCTCTGTTTTCATCGAAGACGGTAAATTTCTTGACGCCCTCGTGTTCTTAGCTTCATGTTCAGTGGTTTCTGCAGCTTATGTCGGCTTAGATTCATTTCCAATTTGGGATGCTAAGTATTCGAACCAAATTATGGGTTTTTGTCCAAAGGTGCTATCTTTGTCCCAGAATAGATGCATCGAGAACAGAGAGAAATCAGAAATCGAAATGGTCTCTGTTCAGTAGTTGATTTCCCTTGTCGTTTATTTCCATCCCACGCGTTTGGTTTCAAATTTTCAATTATGTTTTTGTGTTTAGGACAGAAAACATGATGTAACTTGTGATGCAATCAAGCAGGATAGCGACCTTTGTCTGTCTGCCTCTCTGGATATTCTCTATGCACAATAATAACAATGGATTAATCTATTGGGATGCCAAGTCAACTTAGAAAACGACTTGGTTGACCCAAGTCAACTGATGTTTTCATGAGAGAGAGAGAGAGAGAGGAAGAACAATGATCCAAATCAAAGTCATGGTTAAGAATTAGTTCTTTTTAGGATCCATTGCCGCCGAAAGCTATGATCTGAAAATGACTTTCACTGATGTCTGCTTTTGGTGTGAATTGGAAACTCTTAGGATATTTTCAGAGTTTTTTTGTTGTTGAAAGGGAAATTATGGAGATTATACCTTTTTTGTTTACATGTGAATTTTATTATGGGATTTAATTTACTGTGTTACACTCTCTTTTTATGCTCCTCATGGACATTATTAGCTCATATGTCTTAACAGGAAAGGTATATAAAGATATAGTCGGGAGTGCATACTATGTTGCACCAGAAGTTCTCCACCGAAACTATGGAAAGGAGATCGATGTATGGAGCGCCGGTGTCATTTTATACATTCTTCTAAGCGGGGTTCCTCCGTTTTGGGGCGGTACGTGAAAAATTTTGTTCTGAACTTCAATTTTTCACGTTTCCATACCGAGAAATGGACGATGGAACTTATGTATATCAGCAAATGAACCATTGTTTCAAAGCTTCGAACTTTCATTGTTTCTTTGAGGCGTAATTGCTGAAATCTGTGATATATTGCTGTGTAGAGACGGAGAAGAGTATATTTGAAGCCATCTTAGAAGGAAAACTGGATCTGGAAAGCTCGCCATGGCCTTCTATATCAGAAGATGCTAAAGATCTTATAAGAAAGATGTTGAAAAGAGATCCTAAAAAACGTATCACGGCGGCTGAAGCACTCGGTATGCGAATGTATATTCTTTGTTATTGGCTGTATGAAAAGGGGAAAAGGGTACAACTTTACATTCAGATGCTAACCAGAGTAATATTCTAACATTTCTATGTTGTTGTTGATGAATGTGTGAACCAGAACATCCATGGATGAAAGCAGACAGCAAAATTTCAGACAAACCCATTGACAGTGCTGTCCTTATTAGGATGAAACAGTTCCGTGCGATGAACAAGCTCAAGAAACTCGCCTTGAAGGTATTTACAGTTTATGCCCATATGGAAAGAATCGAAATGATTGAAGATTGTGATCTTCTGAAATGGTGAACTTTTTTTTTTTCCTGTCGTCGGCGAAAGGTGATTGCGGAAAATTTATCAGAAGAAGAGATAAAGGGCTTGAAGCAGATGTTCAAGAACATGGATACTGATGGAAGTGGCACCATCACTTTTGATGAACTCAGAGATGGTTTGCATCGTCTTGGATCGAAGCTCACAGAAGCCGAAATCAGACAACTAATGGACGCTGTAAGAAAACCATCCAAACCCTAAACCCTAAACCCTAAATCCCGAGCGAGCATTATTAGTCTCTGTTGGAAAAAAAGGAAAATCCCGGGTCACATTTAGATCTGACCCTCTTTCTTTCCTCGCAGGCTGATGTTGACAAGAGCGGGACAATTGATTACATCGAGTTCATCACCGCAACTATGCACCGCCATAGACTCGAGAGAGAAGAAAATTTGATACAAGCTTTCCATTTCTTTGACAAAGACGGAAGCGGGTTTGTGAAAATTCCTCTCTTTTTTCTCCATCTCCGGTTTTCTTGATCGTTGTATCGCAATATCGAATCTGAACAATGTCTCCAAAAGGAGAGGTCTGCTGAATAACATGTGGTTTCTGGTTTTGAAACTCAGATTCATTACAAGAGATGAGCTTAAACATGCCATGACAGACTATGGTATGGGCGATGATGCGACCATAGATGAAGTCATCGATGATGTTGATACCGACAAGGTAACGTTTTTCTTTACATATATATATATATATATATATATATATATATATATATAGAATGTTTGTGAGATTTAATTTCCAGAGATTTAAGATTTTATTTGAATAACGTTAATGAATTGTCATGAGAAATTTCACGTAGCCTTGAAGTGTTTTTAATATATATATATCATAGGTACGAATAATGATGATCATACAAAATGCATGACATCTACACCAACTCATGATTACAGTTTCGGCTGACAGAACAGAACCCATCTGTGACTTGGAGCAGCATGCTTCACAGTAACACACCTTGTCTTTGTCCCCTTTATTTAATCTCAATTAAATCTATAATTTAATTACTCTAATCGCCGCCGTTCTTATGCTTAAAACTCGTTCCCTTGTTTCGTAACCCCTTCGGTTTCACACGCACGCTAAGTCTACGTTAGGGTTAATTCTGTTTTTAAAAGAAATGCCCCATGCATCTTCTATATTTCAATGCTCATACGTTTTCAAAATATTTATTGCGTTTCTTCTATATATATATAATTTGTGTTTTGACAGGATGGGAGAATAAACTATGAAGAATTTGTGGCAATGATGAGAAAGGGAACCACAGAACCAGAGGGGAAGCTGAGATGATCATCCATCAGAGATCATTGCTTTGATTATCAAGTGAATAAAATGAATGAATGAATGAATAAGTGAATGAAAAATAAATCCTCCCTTTCTATATATATATATATATTTTTTCTATTGAGATGTATAAAAATGGCTTTTATCTCTTCCCGAATATGAACACACACACACACATATATATATATATATATATATATATGATGTTACTGTAAATTTTTAACGTGCAATTGCTGCCAATCTAAGTTCGATAAGCTAAGCCAAATATATATACAAAATTTATCTTGTTCTTATTTTGCTTTTTTTTTTTATGTACATTAAAAAAAATAATACGTAATTCTGAAATTTAAAATATCTATATGGGAGGGGCGAAGTCCGAAGTCCATGCATGATTTAGTTACGAAGACAAGCGACATTTGAACCCATACGTATGACAAAAAATGCCCACTAACAGCCCAATATGAGATCCATTCGCTCGATTATGTATATGACTATATGTTATTTAATTGGAAAAAAAAGTTTAACTTTTAAATTTTTGAAAAAAAATAGTAGATTTTTAATTTTTTCAAATAAATATTAAAATTTTAAATTCTTTAAAAAACACTTAACTCTTCTATGATTATCAAAATAAATAAATGAGATGACATGACATATCGTCAAATTATTATAGTTGATTTTTTTACGATTGTATATAGTTAATATATTTTTTTTAATCATTTAAAAAGTTTAGTATATTTTGACAATCACATAAAAGTTTATGTATTTTTTATCATGATAAAAACAAAAGTTTGGTATTTTTTGACAAAATTGTAAAATTCAGTTATTTTTTAGATTTTTTCTATTTAATTTTATCAATTTAATGTTATTTATTTATTTTTTTGGTAAAGGTAATGTTATTCATTTTGTTCTTTAACCCAAAAAAATGTTATTTGAATTGTTTATGTGTTGAGTCATAAAAGACCGAGTCTCACGCCCCTTAGGGGTTTGATTATCTCTCGTTTATTTCTTTTGGAGTTGAAACCTGTTACAAAGTTCGGAGAGTCTAGCTGCAGTGTAAGCCACGGCAAATGTCTTTAGCCATATTCGAGTGTCGTTCGAAGCGTATGTAACAGCGGCAATGGTGGTCATACTGCGACGGAAGCGTGAGACCGTCAATAAGAGAGGGAAGTGTTACCGTCCAATATCTGGTCCCCAACCTTGTAGTTGATGACAAGCCCCTTTATATTAAGGTTGTGGGTTCGAAACCCGGGTATGGAAACTCCCTGAACCGGTCAACTTCGACTGTTTTATCTGCTCTACGTGGTTGCCGGCTATTGCATAGGATCGGGGGTTTACTGTCGGCAATAACGATTGTCTGGCCTGAGGATTGTGGGGCGATGCGGGATCTGGCCTGAAGGGGCCATATGGCGGTTCCCATCGTTATAAAAAAAATATCAATATGAACGCTCAAGGCGTGTGGGCGGCCGTAGATTCAGGAGGTCCGGTTGATCGACGACTCGACATGTTAGCCCGACCACGGGTTTGTTTCCACTCACCGCGTCTGATCACATGAACCCCCTCCCCCTCTACGCAGTGTCAGATACCATGTTCCGGGGGGAGTAATCTCTTTCGCCCGAGGAATTAAGCTTAGAGATGGACTGGATTTGAAAATGTGGGTAAGAGAGAGTAATAGGCTTTGATTCTTTTGCTCTTTAACGTCATTAATCACCATTATCGCTTATTCAAGCCCAGAAATGGTTATTTGCCTGGCCGTATGCTGCTAATATTTGATTAGGAGTCTCATTTGGTCTTAGGTTAAAAATTTTTGATTCTCTCTGAATACTCATCTCGTAGATACCCGAAATTTGAAAATCCACCGAGGAGGTACAGTGAGTGCGAGGTCGCACGCTGTATTCGGGTATCCGAGCTACGGGTTCTGTTTCGGTTTTCGTCTCATGAGAAACCTGAAAGGAGAAAAGATGGGGAGAGTGGCGATGCAAATGTGAGTGCCGAGGAGCGAGGATTAAGGGTTTTTCTATTTCACGAATTCAAAAAACCCATCCTGGTTTTTGGTTACTTTAGAATCCCTAAATCTGGAAGGAGTGAGGGCGCTTTCGCCTCATTATGACCAATCGCCAATCGGTATCTGAACCAGTCAAATATAGTACCGAACTCAAACCAAATACCGAAACGCCCACCCCTACTCCCACCTCACCAACATTAACAGCCGCTTCACCCTTTCGCATTTGTCTTGCAACCGAGTACTCCACAAATACCCGAACCCTCGGGTATCCTGTCCCACGAGACCAAGATTGAGATCAGGTACATCGAGAGAGAAAAAACACACACCATGACATTGCAGGATTTGGCAAAATTGATACATAACTCATATGATGGATCTCGTCTGTGATTTAAGAAAAAAGGAGAAGAAATGTATTATATTTATATATTTCACAAAAATTTGTCAAAAAGTCTACAAATTTGGCAGGCAAGGCAATCAACAATAATCTCTCTCTATCCTTCCTTACTTGAACCTGTATCAGTATATTGTAATGCTCTATACGTCTCTCCCTGTTCTTCTTTTTTCCTTTCACCGCGACATCTCGAAGAAGGGAAAAACAAAACATGAACCCGAATTCCATCGAAACAAGAGAAGAATATTGCTGAGCGACAAGCCGTGCCAATAAAGAACCATGAACTCACCACAGCAGTATCGTGCCCTGCCCATCAGGAAAAGGAGGAATATGTAAAGGCCTTTTTTTTATGAAGTTTTCAGCAAAAAGACAAGGACCCGCCTTTGCTTTTACACTAAGAACTTGTTAAAAGCTACAGTAATAAACATTCCCTTGTTCACATTACGAAAGCGGCTTCCGAATTCTTGTCATTATGCATGCATGAATGAACATCAACAACCTTCCATGATGTGAAAGGGTTGCGAATTCAATGACAAGGATAGAGCATATATGGAGCAGCATGGATTTTTGCTCAATCTGTTTAATGCTTTGTAACATGATCAATGACCCTTTAAAGGCCTGACCAAGATGGGTAATTCTATGATATAGCCGATGATAGATGTTCTTGCTTGACCGAGTTATCTCTGCTACGAGGAATGGAATGGAAGAAGTACCTCATCAGATGGCGCATGCATGTTAGATTTTGTACTCCCCGACATGCATCCATTTTGTAGAAGACCACTTGTTTCCTTTAATCACAGGGCAGCCACCTAACACCAGCAATATATACATATTATATATATATGAGCATATATGAGTAAGGATGTGATGTATAAGTGAATTAGATAATCCAATCCATGGTGTAAAAAGAAAAGATCTAACCATGCAAGCTTGTAGGATCCAATGAAGCATCAGGCCTCATGCTCCAGAAAAGCAATGCGTCCCCCATTTTCGGTTTCACAGAAAGCCCCTTCTTCCCACACAGAGATAGCTCATTATACCATGGCACAGAAGTATAATTCATATTGGCAGAAGGAAACACTGTTTCACCTCCTTCTTCAACATCCGATCTGTAATGTAAGACATGTAAAGAAATGGGTTTAAAGAAGGAAAACATATCGGACAATGTTAGGAACATAACAACTAGGAACTAAACCCGTGATAGACGAAACCCTTACAGATACATAAGCATTGTAGCCATCCGTTGACCTCCATTCTTAGTGTTGAACTCATCGAGGAAGTAATCATAGTGTGGTTCATATTTTTGCCCCTCTTCATAGTGAAGAACTTGAAGCCCTTCTCCATGCTCTGCAGATCCCAGAACCATCGATTGTGAGGGCAACAGTCATAAAAAAAACGCGTGCAAATCAAAATACCCAAACAAAAAAAAAGGAAAGGGGGTGGTATAGGTAAAGTAATCAAGTTTTCGAGCAAATAAAGCTAAAGCTTTTAATCTATCAGACAGATACCATGAACGATAAACACGATCGAAAGGAAGTTTTTCGAAATCTGATTGCTATTTCGGAATAAGGGTAGTCCGAAGAAATGCAAAATGAACTAAAAAAAACGAAATGGAACCTGCATCAACGAATGTAAAGCTCACATACCTGCTGGAATAAAAGTGTAATCGGCTATTCTTTTCTCGATGTCCCTTATGACTTTATCCCTTCCTCTCCTAAGGAAAGTGCCAGAGCTTGTACGCACCCTGAATGTGTACAATCTCACAAATCATAAACACGCGATGGTTGTACTCGTTATGGCAATGAAAAAGACATTTTTAAAAAAAACCAAACCTGCTATCTTTGCTCTTCCCGGTCTTGCTGTCTACAACAGTTGACTTCACCATATGAGGTGTGGCAAGATTGATCAAATATTCGCATTCTTCCTTGGACTGGTCAAATTGAGAAACAATGGTCAACACTTCGGCTTTAAGCACTAAATCACCATTGGTTTTCGGGATTTAAATAGCATCAGCTCAGATTCTCAGAACCATTGTATGCATAATGCAATTCGGACAAAGACATTTCATGGCCGAAAAAGGATTCTGAGAACAGCAAAGAACCAAATTCCCTTGCATTAGGGAGCCTAAAAATGAGATGAAGAAAAAATCCTAAATTTATGAACTTATCAACGGACAAGACAGTGACTTAAACAGAAAACTAAGTACCAAGAACAAAATTAAGAACACCAACCAGGAAATTATGGTAGACAAAAGCCCTAGGTTCCCAGGAAAGCACTTCTGTCCATTGTTCTCCTCTCTTCCCAAGCCCCTCACCTCTGCGCCAAAGGAGAATAACAACCCACAACTTGTAACGAAAAATCGGCAAAAAAATATATATAAAAAAAAAATAATGCATGGATCGAATATTCGCCATAGCCAAGCACCTCTCCGCAGCCATTCGTCTGTACGAGGTAGAGAGATCGATCGTAGAAGATTCATCGTCGTTTACCGGAATAGAGAAAATCCCAAGAGTCAAAAGCATCACAAAAACAACACTTAGCATGAAGAGCATCGACAGAACCAGCATCAACGTCGACAATTTCCTCGCGTGAAAGCGCGAGTGTCTCAGCTTCGCCGCCATCGCAGAAGTTTCCACCAGAACAAAAAAAAACAAGATCAGAAGAATCTCCGGCAAGATCTCGACCGGTGAAGCGATGCCCTAAACCCTGATTCTGCAGAGAAAAACGAACGAACAAAGATCGAAGGACTCGCGTCTCCTAAAATCTTTCCTCTGGTTTTTGCAAATGCTCATGTTCTTCTATTTCTATATAAATCAGAAATGACATATATACCCTTTGTCATCTCGGGTCGGTGGCCAAGAGAATAGGGTATTTCTGTCATTTCAAACTGAAAATGGTTTGCCTCGCTCAAGGTTTCACTGCGTAACCAAATCGATGTGCTATTAATATGCAAAATCTAAAATAATAATAATTTAATAAATTTCTTAACAAAGTTCGCTAAGATTTATCTTTGACTACCGATAATTTCCAAAGACCGTTTGAGATTTCATTTTTAATAATTATCCTTATTACATAATAAAATTATTTAATGTTATCGTGTCGGTAAGATAAAATTTGAAATTACATACATTAATAGCTTTTTCGCTTTCTTCGGGATTAACCTTGAAATTTTCATCTTTTAAAATATGTTTTCTTAACATGATAAAATATTTAAGATGGAATGTAAATCATCTTGCGACAGATAGAGATCGTGGTATATGGGGTTTTTGTTCCCTTTTTCAATCATTCGGACCATATATATTAACAAGAAAATTTTGTAAAAATATATCAATTACAAAATATGCCAAAAAATATATAAACTTTTAATTTGACAAATAAATACATCAAAATCAAATGTACCAATAAAATATCTCAATTTTCTAAATAAAAAACAATATCTTGTACATCGATGATACCGTTAAAATTCGGATTTGAAAGTTTTTTCATTTAAAATCGTTAAATTTCATGTATGAAACAATTTTAACCAATTTGGATAGAGTACGTTAATATCTGTATATGAAATTGCTTTCGATTTTAAAATATGTGCCACATTTCAACATTAGTGTAACTTATTTATAAAATTAAAATTTTGTATATTTTTTTATACATTTTATAAAACGTGTATTTTTATAAGGTTTTTCTTATATTAAATTCTAAAACCAAAATATAATTATCATATATTATATACTAATTTTTTAATAGATAGGATAGCAGTTCACATTAATGTTATCAATTGCATAGGAAAATCATCATACCAAATAATAGATCATAAATATATAACAGACGTCATACCAAAAGTCATCATAATTCAAAAAATATAATATATTTATAAAAATGACACAAATAAATCATCATCGTGATATAAAACTAAGACAAATATAATAAAATATCAATCTATATAAACATTAAAAAAAAAGAGCCTTGGACGTGTCTTCAAATGGAAAACAAAATTACACAAGATGGTTTCAGACCAAACAGCCTTCAGTTTCGTCTAAACGCCTGGCGTAGGGAAGAAGGCCACAGAAAAACCGTCCGGACCGAACCAAACTTGGTTCGACCGAACGTCGTCCGTTTGATTTTGTTCTTTATTTTTATAGACAATCCGTTCGGTCCGAACCCTTTCCGGTTCGCTCGAACCGATGGTTATTTTTATGTTTAACAAAAAAAAAAACTTGACAGCTCTTTGACTATACGAAATCCGCAAAATGCCCAAATCAAATACCAGAATTTTATCATCCAAATGATTGGAAATCGGAATCAAATACGCTTTAATTTTTTGAATAATTCTGTTCTGTGTATGTGTATCATCACTTTGCCTGGATATGACTTACAGAATCCCATGCCTGACCTGTTCATGTTGCCGTAGTTTTTCGCTGAGATTTTACCTGTCACCAAAAACAACAATCCGCAGGAACCCTAATTTCTGGGTTATTCTTTTCCCTCTGACTGCAATTTACAACAGTGTAAACGGAGAACATGCCAAAGCACAAACCCTAGAATCACAATTTATCGTAAAATTTACCTTCACCACCAGAAATTGGATGTTCGATCCGCTCACGTTGGACCGCCTCCTCCGCCACGCTCCTTCTCGACCAACTCTCTCTGCTTCTCCGCAAGCTTCTCGATCGCTGACGACACCGCGTCTCGACCACCGATCAGAAGCCGAGTCACGATCTCGGGATCGGTCTCGAACCTCGCCGACTCGAACTCCTTCCTCGCGTTCTCCCTCAACACGTCCCTCCAGAGGGCGCCCCGAGAGTCCGTCCACGCGAAGAACCGAGTCGCCCGGAGGATGTCTCGGTACAGAGCCAGTGCCTCCCGGCGCGTGCTCATCAGACGCCGCTGGTTCAGGAGCTCGGCCTCATCGTCGTCAATGAGAGGTTTCTTCTCTCCCTTCTTTAGATGCCGATCCAGGAGCTCCTCCACTGTGTCTGGGCCTTCGTGGAGGAAGCGACGCAGCGATATGACCGCATTTCGGGAGATCTGATCCAGAGGGGCTGAGAGATTCCGCCATTGCTGAAGCTTCGCCGTCATCGTCTCTCTCAAATGTTGGAAAAATTGTTCGCGATTGTCGGAGAACACCGAGTGGAGTCGTAAGCGCAAGTTAAATGGGCCTTATTGGGCTCGTCTGATGTAAATGGGCTTTAAGGCTATTTTATTTATCCGGTTAGGCCGTGATCCGGTTTGTGGGAAACCTAAAACGGTTAAGGGAATCTTCTTTGATCGTGTTCGGTTTTTGGTTAGTTTTTTTACCGGTTTTGATTTGGTTAGAATTTAATTTTGAAAATATAAACCAAATTAGATTTTATTCGGATCAAACCAAACCGAAACGATCTAAACCGCTTCTGCAATGACTTTGAGTTGAAAAAACAAAATTGGATTGAGATAAGGATAGACATTTGTATTTACGTTGTGATTAGGATGGTTATTCAAGTTCAGATTCCGTTTGATAATGTTAGGTAGTAGAATATATATATATATATATATATATATATATATATATATATATCGTGTATTTTTTGTTATATATATATCCATTGGATTTGGTTTGATTTCTGTTCAAATTCAATCTGGATTCGATTTTTATTGTTAAGAAATATTTATATTTCAAAAGAAATTTGACAATAGCTGACATTTGTCGGATCAAAATCAACCAGGCATGGTTCTAAAGGTGAAGAACAGTCGAGGCAGATGTGAACACTTACAGAATTTTGGTCACAATGTACTGAGGGATGGTATCATTGGAACCATGCCTGCAAGTTCTTCAGGGGAAATGGCTTGAAACCAAGCCTCCCTCTCAATGCGAGGCTTATTACTCAGCAACCGAAAAACTGGGCACTTGAAGAAGCATGAAAGATTCGTCACGATAAAAGTCTGATTCTTCGATTAATCCACCTATCCAAGTATCAAAAGAAGCAGTCTTTTCGAGGTTTTCGGTAGTCAGAGACAGTTTCTTCAAGATGTATCCTGCCCTGTTACTCAATTTTGTCATAAACTAGACAAATTCTCATTGCTTTCCCCGAGCAACACATACCCGATTCATCATAAATCAAGTCCCATCGAGAGAAGTTACCTTGTCCTTGAGCTATCTGCGGATAATCCACCTATCCAAACATCAAAAGAAACAATCTTTTCGAGCTTTTCGGTATTCAGAGACGATTTCTTCAAGCTGTATCCTACCCTCTTACTCAGATTTGTCATAAACTAGACAAAATCTCATTGCTTTCCCCGAGAAACACATACCCGATTCTTCCTAAGTCAAGTTCCATCTACATAAGTTACCTTGTCCTTGAGCTATCTGTCTTAGATCTCCTTACAGACAACCAAGCATTGTGAAGTTTAATGGCCTTGCAAGTCGAGCATTTCATCGAGTCCTTTAACTCTCTCTAATCCTTCGCTGATTAGGTACCTTATCTTTTGCTTGTCATCACATCCTCGATTCTTCTCCATCTCTTCCCTGATCGTCTGCTTTAGATCCGCTGCAGTAATCATCGACAATGCATTAACAACACAAACTTTGATCCGTGACTAAAACAAGAATCAGTAGAAAATCTCCCCCGGGAAGAGGTTCATCGGTTAACAGATTCAGACCAAAACTCATCCAAGACTCGAGATTTCGACACCCTCAGAGATCAACACAGTGGAGGAGAACAACTGTCATTTGGTATTTTAGTGGTTCTTCATGAATGTTGAAAGTGCAAACAATGCTAAGACACAACAGAATCGGGACGGGGTTCCGGAACATGTTTCATGGAGACAACGAAACGAATCGAACCTCTGGCATGAATAGGAGCTCTCCGAGAAATCCTCAATGCTTGCCTGTAAAGCTTCAGCACTCGAGCACGAAGAATGAAGCTTTGTAGATCAAAGGATTGTACCATAATCGATCTTTTCCTGGTAAACAAACAAAACCCATCCCACGTAAGTAACCCTAGAAATCGCCATTACTGAAACTGCATCCGTACCAGGCGAACAACGATTCCATATCAGATCAAATTCAGGGAGAATTGAACTACGAACGCTCATCTGAATCTGAATTGGGAAAAAAAAAAGCCTATGAAAACTTGTGCTGATCTGGAACATTTCCCGAGATAATCATCAGAAATTCAAATATTAGAAGTCTGGATTCAGTACTTACCTCAGGAATGCAGAAACTGATTGCTCGATCTGGGTATGAGTTCGCGCGCGAAGAGAATCTATCAAGGGTTCAAAAATCAATAGACTTCTGAAGAAACTGAAACTCCATGGATTCACAAAAGGGGGGGGGGACTTAGCGAAGACAGACAGAACGAAACGATGACGTTTTTCGATGATGAGCAAAATCCGTTATTGTACTTTGCACCTCGTATATTATGATTTATTCAAAATTGGTACACATGGTATCTAAAAGTTCTGTCAAATCCTAAAACCCTAAATGATACTGTTTTTGTTGGTATTTTAGAGTAAACGGTTGATTGGTTTGAATCTCTCAAAAGGATTCATGTTTCATGTATATTACAAATATGGTGGATGAGTTAAATGCTTGTAAAAGACGTGCCATGAGTTGGCTAAGTGTTAAAGATTTGTCGGAAAAGTTTACGTTCGGTTTTGAACGTGAAAGATGATTTCATAAAAAATGGGAGGGCAGCTCAAAAACATGGGCAGACAGTCTGTTTGTTCTGAGGAATATAACCCAGAAATAAACGGGCGGTAGCTCGAAAATACGGGCACGCAACTCGTTTTTTCTGAGCAATTTGAATGAACGAAAAATCGCGACCGTTCGAGAAAAACTTCTGATTTCTTTGCACCTTTCGACTTTTGGAATGTTTATAAACATCCCTGGACATCCTAACATGACATAGAATATACAAAAGATATCTAATTCGGTTTTTAAGAGATTTGAGTGTTCTTGCGGATAGTCGTCAGGGTCTTTTTTGTTTTCGGTTAAATAAGGTTCTGTTTGATGATTGTCGGAAGGGTAAACCGAAATCATTGCCGCTTCATTGTATCTCAAAAGTGTATTCTTGTAATCTCATTTACCCGATAGAGATGGAATAACGGTTTTAGGAAAGTGTATCACGTCTTGAAGTCATATCCGGTTCCCTACTGTTTCATACGTGTTTTGATAGGTTGAAGACAGATAATCAGATCATATTGAAGTCGTCGTCTTACCGGGTACGTATGAGTATTTATTATCTACTTAAACTCTTATAGTTTTGAAGTTATATATCATATATATATATATATATTATATGTTGAGAATTGTAAAATAAATAAATAAAAAAACAAAAGAATTACACTAAAAAAAGTTCACGAGAAATTTATATTCTTAAACTTTAAACTAATAATAAAGTGATCATTGCAATAGCGAAAATTTTAGTGCTTTAAAAAACCAATCATATGCATATAATAACTTTCACAAATATGACACATTAATTGTAATAAAAGTGATAATACAGTTGTCAGTCCATCTTCTTTATATATATAATATATATAGTATGCATTCATTGACCTAAACAAAGAAGAGAAAGTGGTGGAACTCGAGAATTGTATGATTTATATAATTGGTATTGAATGTCGAAATCCAAAAGTCACAAATTTTTCTCTTTATCTTACGTGGCCGAGCTTTTCATATTTATACAACATACCATTTTCAATTATCCTATGTATATTAAATTTAAGGTCTGAATTCGAAATCTAAAAAATGTTGGTGATGGATATTTAATTATTTATATATATAATATATATATATTCACTTTGAGCCAACGTGTCAAAATAACTAAATAAAACGATTATTGAAATCTGAAATAAGAGACTGATATGAAATTGATAGATACCTCGATATTTAAATGGTTGGATAATAATATTTATCATTTTGTTCTTTCTTGACCGTTTTATTTACCAATCGTTTTCAGTATAACAAAAAATATTTAATTAATTTCTAGTTGTTGGTCGACATATCCTTTTTAATTAATCCCCCGACCAAATAAACATTAAAATCATGTTTGCTTTTACCCAATTTTTAGTGTTGCCGCCAACTACCACAGTGGTAAATTCACAACCAACTCTAGAAAATAATCGGACCCCATAAATGTTTTTTTTTTTATAATCGGGTGATCCCAAGCCGGCAAGCCCAAAAGCCCAGACTAATCCCGACCCACGCGCACGACCCTGCAACACACACGTGGGATGTGAAACACGCGAAGGTGGCAGGAGGGGAATCTCCATACTCTGGGTGTTACTAGATCCAGAAGACAAAATCATTTATTACATAATTGATGGCGAAATTAAAATCAATTGATTGTGGATTATTTGTGTTTTATGACATAGGACGTGTTATATCATGTAGAATTAGAGAACTATAATAAGTTCAAACCAATAATAAATATTATGATTAAATTTAAAATAAAATTCAGGTGGGCATATCGGTTCATGCACGCAAAATTAAACCCAAATGAATACCGAAATTGATATAAAAAATGGATAATATTTTTTTGTTACATCGAATTAGTCTAATATTTGCACCCGAATCGACTAAGAAATAATAAAAATCGGTTAAAAATAATATTTTTTAACAAAAAATATTGGAAACAAATCCAAATGGAAATAGGATCAAATCAACATTCTATATAAAAATTAATACCAATATTTTTTTTTTCAAAATCGCAAAGCAAGACGAAATTCGAATAAATACCCCTAGTTTAGTAGTTTTAGAGGTTAATAGAACACTTATTCTAATTTAATTTTTTTTCATAAATTGTTTTGGAAATCTAAAATAATATATAGATTTCGTATAGACATTTGATTTATATTGGTGAGAAATTTAATAAATATTTCAAATAAGTATTTTAACATTCTGAATCGGTCCGGCCATTGACATTTTCATTTTGGTATTAATTGTAGATATAGACCCACAAAGCTCCATGTAAATTGACATTATGGAAAAAGAAAATAGCAATATATTTTTTTCAGAAATAAAGTGGGTACTGCTAAAACTAAATCCCTCGGTTCTTTCAAATAGTTTTTTTTTACCAGGTTGTAAAGTTTCACTGATTTGGATATTGAAACAAGGATAATTACCCTTTTTGTTCCTAATTAACCTTTTAATTACCCACCAGAGTTTAAACTGAAAGGGAGAATATTGGCAATTCCAATTGCATTTAATTAATTTTTTGCGTGGAAAAATAAAGAAACTTGAGAAAACGCAAACATGCCTTTCGCGTTCGAGAAAAATCCCAAAGTCGGCCGCTATAAAACATGATTAGTTCACATTTGACCAAAACTCTATCTCCGTTGACTTTTTCAAACTTGTTCTTCTCCTGCTTCCTCTTATCCCTTGGATTCTCAGAAATTTCAGACAACATCGATATCATAGAAAGAAACACCCAGAATCTCTGCTTCTTCTCCTGCGTTAGTTCTGTTTTTTTTTTAAAAAAAAATTCAGCTTCTTGTTGTTGTTCTTCTTCTCCATCTTATTCCTTGGATTCTCAAAAAATTCAGATCGATATCGTAAAAAAAACCCAGAATCTCTGTTTCTTCTCCTGCATTAGTTCTGTCTTTTTTTTTTTTTTCTGGCGATGGATACACAGCAAAATTCAAAGCCGAAGAACAGCAATAACAACAGTATATTGAAGATGCTTCCCAAAGCGATGTCGTTTGGACAACGGCTAGCTCCGTTTAGCCCCAGAAGAGATCTTCACCATCACCAATCAACGTCGACGTCGACGGCGGCGGCGGCGGCGGGAAACAGAGCGTTTCTGTCCGGTCCGATTACCCGGTTAGTTCCGGTCGAGGCCCGGTTAAGGAAAAGCAAAAACGACGGCGTTATGGATGAGCCCACGTCGCCGAAAGTTTCCTGCATCGGTCAGATCAAGCTCGCGAAGACCAAGTGCTCGGATACGAAGAAGAAGCCACACAGAGTTCCTCCGGCGAAACCCAAAACGGCGTCGTCCCGTTCCAAAGACGAAGACAGAGCACGTCCTTCGATGATCAAGCGTATGTTCTCGTCGGCGGGAGCGAAGCCGCCGGAAAAACCTCCCCCCGCCGCCGCTTCCGCCGGAGACTTAGCCGGTGATCGTCCGTCGCTGGGTCAGATGAAGAAGTTCGCGAGCAGCAGAGAAGCGTTCGCGGGCTTCGACTGGGCGGCGGAGATGAAGAGCCGGGAAGAATCTCCGGCGACGGTGTATCGTCGGCGGGAGTATTTTTCCGACGACGAAGAGAGGGTGATTGCGTTTTCTGCTCCGTTGCCGCTGAACGAGACAGAAGGTTTGAAGCCGAAGAAAGAAATTAACCTGTGGAAGAGAAGAACTATGAATCCGCCGAGGCCACTTCAAATTAAAGATGGTTGATTTTCTTTTCATGTTTATTTCATTTCATTTTTATTTCGATTTACGAAAGTTGAATACACCGATAATGGAATTTTCGGAATCTTATATTTGTGTATACGCTAAAAATACATATGATTCGTTAAAACATCAATGATCCTTGTGAATACAATAAAAGCAAACACGTTATGGTTTCAATGTGGCACGATAATTTTGAAGTTTCACTAAACCAACTGCTTTGGTTTCATAAACATACGTTGGAATTTGTTCGAACAATGCATGAAAATTTTATAAAAATTCGTAAAATTTATAATTCCATTTTTTATATGAAAGTTGAAAAAATTCGTAAAATTAATAAATATGTGTGAACATAATAAAATTTATGATTTTATATAAAAATTACAAAATTTGTGATTTTATATGGAGGTTTTTTTAAAATTAATGATATTTAGACTATTGTCGGATTTTGCAATTACATTGTGTTACATAGGATCTCCTCCATTCATAAATAGGGTTCGTAATTAATCCGAAATTGCAATCCAAAGATTCCAAACCTCACGAGAGCAACAGATTAATATTAAAATTAAAATATCACTTTTGTTTTTCTATTTATTAAGATTAATCCTTACAAATTCTAAAAACAATTATATTAATCCATTTAAATTCTTTTTAATCATCAAACAACGACAACACAAATTATCCTATAATTTTTTTTATGGATTAAGCACATCAAGAACTTACAATAACATGTAATCATACATTATAATCATCAAGTAGCTATAAAACTTATATAACATAACATCAATAACATCATACCAATAATTTCTCATCCAAAAAAAAAAGGTAATATAAATCTCATCCAAACCCATTAAACCCCAAAAAAAAAATTCAATTTTCAAATTCATATAATATCAATTTTTTTTATGTGATACGAACGCCTTGGTACCGGAGAATCTCGCCAATAAGCTCGCCCTTACCCGACCCGACATACCGGCCTTTAATATCTCCATCTCTGATGAACAAAAAAGTCGGCACTTCGATCACGTTCATGTCCCTTAGAAACTCCATGCAGCTGTCGTTCTCGTCTCCGTTCATTCGGGCGAAAACCACCGCATCCGACATCTGACGCGAAAGCTTCAGTACGGTCGGATAGACCTTGACGCATGGCCCGCAGTGCTTGAGACCCACGTCCAGCACGATCAGTTTCTTGTCCGTGCGGTGGTCGTCGATCAGCTTTTCCACGTCGGCTCGGCCGTGGAGCTGAACCACCTCCGAGTGGTTGTCCCCGTAGTATAGTACGTCTCCCATTAGCTGGTCCGGTCCTATCCCTGCAGTTCATTGGTTTGAAGATTGTTTCCTTTATTCACGGTTTTGCCATTTGTATTGATTGGTTCGTGCTTAAAAAAAAGTAGGTTTTTGAGTTTTATGCTAAAAGATTAATTGTAATTATACACATGTTAATTAAATTGAACCAGAGTATTTTTTCATGTGTATTTATTGAGTATATATATATACACTATCTCAATCATGCATCCAACATCCTTATAATTTATATTTTGTCATATTTTCTATAACATTCTCTAATTATTTTTTTTAATGGGTAAAGAACAATCTCTAGGTAGGGTTACCTCAATTAAATTAGCTAAATTCTTTAAATCCACATCCTCACCAAGTCATTCAATTTTTTTTTTTTTTTTTTTTGGTTGGAGTGTGTGAAATTTCCAAAAGAAGAAATTTTGAAACAGAGAAAGAGAGAGAAAACAAGATCACCTTCCTCCTCGTGAATCTTGTCCATGCTCTTGTAAAAGCTGAAGTGAGGGACTTTGTCGATCTTCTCTCTCCGACAGAGCTCGCGCGTCTTGTCGGATTCGTCACTCATTACCAGCAAGAAAACGACGTCGTTGCACGACCTGCTCAGCTCCACCATGAACGGGTAAATCTGGTTGCTCTGGTCACTGTCGCTTGCTCCATACTCAACCACCACCAGCTTGTTCTTCGCCGCCTTCAACGCCGCGTCGAACTCCTCCGAGCTGTGAATCTTCTGCACCTTCTCGTCCCTCGCCGCCGGTGACCCTTTTGTCCCGGCGGACGCCGCCCCTCCGGCTCTCGCCACCGGGAAAACTCTGATTCTCCGGTGGTTAGTGGTGGTTCTCGTGATCTGTTTCGGGGAAAGATGACGGGTTTTAGGGCTTGCGAGGCGGAGGACGGCGGAGGTGGAGGTGGATGCGGCGGAGGAGGACGGCGGATGGAAGGCGGAGGAGTGCGGTGGTTTGGTGAGGAAGTGGGAGAGAGTGGCCATTGTGGAAGCGTGGGTTTGTCGGGGAGAGAGAGAGGGTTTGGTCGGATAGATTTTTAAAACGGTGGTGAAGTGTTCGTGTCCACTTGTTTGGATTTTGTGGATCATATTTGCTTCTCGTTAGATATTTTATTTATTTATTAAAGTAATTTCGTAATTTTAAGGAGAAGTTATGGACTTGGAAAGTACAACGAGTTTGTAGTTTTGGGATTTTGTGTAGAAAAAATGTGGTGGATCTTTTGCTTTTGCATGAGATTTTTGGGATATTTCTTTGAATGTTTATTTTTTTTTTTAAAACAATGGGGACCCGTCTCTACAACCCTTTGAACCGGATACCGATTTGATCCCGCCGATCGAACAACATCTCGGACAATAAATACATTTGTCTCTATACAGTAGTCAGACAAATCACGCGAAACATGTAAACCAAATGAAACTGACCGATTCAGAAAAAAAATTCAGACATGAGGACGAACCGAACCACAATATTATGAGACTTTTCATTTTCCAATTGAGATGGAATTTCCCCTTCTTTGCTTGTTGTTGTCATGTCCACATATGATATTGCTTTAGATATATAAATATCTAAATGTGATATTCAAATTCTTTTATCCTAAAAATTTTAAAAATTAGGGGTGACCAAAAAACCGAATCCAAATCGTATATACTTGTATAAGACGAACGGTTATGATTTTTGTAAAATTGAAAACAATTAAATCTAAGTCGAATAAAGAAAATAATTGAAAAAATCGATTTTTTGAAGTGAGGATTTAATTACAACTGAAACTAAACTGGAATATAACATAATTTAATTTAAAAGTCGGACTATTATAATTTTTATAAAACCAAAATAACCCAACCAAATATATGACATTTTACAAAACAAAATACTTTCTTATGACAAAAAAAAAATACATTCTTGGACTGAATTTGGAAACTGGGCCTACTATGTGGCCCATCGTATTTGTGTAAATATAATGGGCCTTTGAAATGCCTACAACTGCAACCGGATTATTCTTGTATCCATATCCAAACAAGAAATTCTATAAAGAATTCCGATACGACCAAACCCAAAAATTAAAAAAATACAAATTATTTTTAAAATAAATATCTTTTAAATATCAAATCTAAACTAACTTTTTACCAAAAAAAATCTAAACTAGATTTGAATTGAATAAAAGATGGTTTAGATTGGAAGGCGTATGACTTTTAGAAAACTAAAAGCTAAGCGTGACTGCAAGGCACCATTTTTTAGATCATCTATTTAGTTTCCTCGGTCAATAATTAGTGTAAGAAATTTCTAGGAATAATTACATTAAATTGATTAAATTGAATGGACATGGATTTTTATCAAATGGGATTTTGAGCTTATGGTCCACACAATGTTTTTTAAACCGAAGAATGATTAAATGGTTTAACATATTTGTTTGGGACATTTCAATTAAATGGATTTAACCCATCAAAATTATGGTTTAGATAGGTAAAATCTATGTAATCCAATTGATTATACGAATTTGATCATTTCGGTCCGATTCATGTAATCGAAAACCCGATTTTTTTTGGAATACCCGATATTTTTGGAATACCAATATTTTCTGGCTAAAATATCGAACCAAGTGTATATAATTTTTTAAAACCGAAATAACTAAATTTGAATATATTCTAAACGAATCCAGACATAGTCTGATATAAATATCGGACAAATATATTTTATTTAAAATTATGAAAAACGAATATAAATCGAATTTTTATAAAAATAATTGAAATACTGATTTTTTTTTTTCTCTCGAAACTGAATATTTATCAATAGAATTTGAATTTGAATTGAACCTCAATACAAACCAAATCTAACCGAATCTAATATAAAACCCAAACAAATATAGTTTTTCTAAAATCTAAATATCCGACTGAATACTAATTTAGTTTTTTTACGATATAATTTTGATTTAGTTGAATTATACATTGTAAATTATTGTAAAATATCTCTAATATATAACTGTCTCTAACTTTATTAATAAATTATCTAGATATAGATTAGCTCATGTTTTGAACTAATTGGGCTAATTGAATTTAAATGCATTTTATAGATTAACTCAATCGGTTGGGAATAGACCGGGTTACCTATTTTGACTTCTCTGGCCCCTTATTACCTCATTGTCAAGTGTCACTCTCTTCCAACCTTAGGGTTTTGTATTCCTCCTTCCATCCTATAGAATTGTTCCAAAAAAAAAATAGATATCTTCTCATGGATGATCCAATAGTTAAACACACGTGTTACTCGTAATGATACGGATACTCGAATTTATTAAGCAACCTCTGCATTAAACCTAAGAATTCTAAAAGTAAAAAAAATATCGGAAATTAAGAAGAATTTTAGTTGATATGAAATTTTTTTATGATAATTCAGAAATTTACCGTACTCTCGATCCAATTACATCTTTCACAAAATCGAGAAAATTCATATGAATAGGCTCCTTCCCATGTAAAAAACTCGAATGTGGGTTGAGCTACCGAATTTTGGGTTTAATGTGTCTCGTATTTAGATTGGATTGGTTGGAAGAAAGAAAGATATGCAACAGCCGAAATCAAGAATGAAAACATTTCACTAAAGCCCTACATTTTTTTTATAGAGATCGAATCTAGAAATATTGATGCGTTGATTCATAGTATATACCAACAATAACTAAGGCGATTTAGGTAATGAAATTGACAAGACAAAGAAGACAACGTATCTATTCATTTCACACTTCATATTTAATTCAAAGTTAAATACAAAAGAGGAATGAAAAGCAGGAGGCATTAAATGCATAGCAAACTTTTAGTCATAGTTCCACGTTCATGTATTTATTCCACCACCCACATTAGGAGATGGACCATAAATTCATGTAATTATTATGGAACAATCACCTAATTCACATATATTACGTGTATATATATACATATATATGTATGTATATTTATACTTATATGTATTTATATAAAAATTTTATAGTTCAAATATTTATCTATATTTTTTTTTTAAAAGTTTAGATATTTATATGCGATTTTTTATTTTATTTATTTTGTTTATTTGGTCGAAAATTGTGGAAGTGATTTGGCGTTGATATATGTATTATTAGGTCCGCATATTTTTTCCGACCGAATTTTAGAAAATTTGAGCTAGAAAAAAAAAGACCGAACGAGTCAACTCGTCACGAGTTCGGTACGAGGTGAGCCAACTCGCCACGAGTCCAAGAGTTAATTTGCGAGCTATTTTTTTTTAGGTTTTAATATTTTTTTATATATATTTAATATTTTTCTATATAATTTGTATTTCTAATAAATATTCGTTTTGTTATGTTTAAATTTTTATTTTTTAATATTGATTACAATATTTTTAATATATATATATATATATATTATTAGATCGGATGGAACATTTCGCTATCGACTATCATTTTATACGCATCTTGTTCAATCCGGCATCTTACGTGTTATCTACGTCTTCTACCTCGTGTTCGATTTGATCTCTTTCGAATCAAGATTGATCTCGCACACGAACCTCATTTTGCGGGACGTAATGAAAGAGAATCGTTCTCATAAGATTATTCTTATCAATCACGGATTCTTTGTAATGCGGTTTCTTAATTGTAGTACTTATTCATGTATATATCCTCTATATTATCACAGGTTAAGAATATACAAAACATATTTCTCAATCTGCTGTATAATTAGTATTAATTTTAATAATTTTGAATTTAAAAAATTAATTAATCAAAGGCTAATCTTACTAGTACTTGAATCCGATATTGTTAACCTACTTTCCATCCATGAATGCATGCAAACTTCCTTATCTAATTTACTCTTTCTATTCTAAGTTGGTCGCATCGTATTTAATTTAACTATAAATAGCAAAATCTAAAATTTAGATATGAAGAGGTATTTTTTCCCTTGTCGCTCGGTAAAGAGGTGTTTATATTTATTAGAAATGGACAATTACTAATTTATTTATTTATTTATATTTTTAAATATCATTAATATGTTAGAGATTTAAACATATATGTAGTGTTTATATTTAGTACAGAACGATAACAGATATGAAATATGATATACATTCGCAAATATAAAACGTGTCTACGGGGATCCATTGATGTACATAAACAACCCAAATTAAAAAATTAAAAAATTTAAATAAAATTATACGGACAGCAAACCGTCGTGCCAACTTGTTATATATATATATTTTTTAATAACCAAATCAATAAATCGTGAGCTGTTATATAACTTGTAATTGGACCACGATAAAATGACGCACGACAAATGAAGACAAAACAATGTTCCGAGATCTAAAACTAAACTATTGTAACTTTAGACTCAGATTCACGTGACGCATCTGACTCCAAAGAAACTCATCAAATTTTTCAGTTAACGCCAATCATATTATTAAAAAAAATGTGTAATTTGATGATAACCTAAAAAGTATGAAATGACTATATATTTATTTCAAAACGTACCAATAATTTTGATATTATATGGTCTACAGAGCGTGAGGGCACGCGCGGCTCCTCCCCACTAACGCAATACGACAAAGACACAAAGCGTACCTAAAAAAGCTGAAAGCTTCTCTTCGTTTGGCACGACTTCGGACTTTTTAGAAAAGATCGGAAAATAAAGGAACTTTTTATAAAAGATTGAAAATAAAGGAACTTTTTGTAAAAGATCGAAAATAAAGGGACTTTTTAACGAGGAAAACAATATAGAAAAACAGAGATTTTTTTAAAAGAATTTAGAAAATGGTAAAATGATCTGACAGCACAGCCGAGATATAAACTATACCATCACTACCACAGGCTGTCGACACCTACGGACAACGATTTACTAAATTGCCCCTCACGATAACACTCCACGTGGGATGATCCCCTGTTTCTCGCCGCCGCTACACCCGCAGATCTCAGCCGTCCATTCATTTGATCTAAAAAATCTAAAATCTAAGAGACTTCGACGATCCACGAGGCGGAGAAAACAAGAACGGGATTCTCGGGAAATTTAAACAATTTGGAAAAAATAAAAGATGAATTTAATTTCCGTTTAAATTAATCTCGAATAACAGCAAAGGCCCACCACAATTAACGAAAATCAAATTAAATTAAAAACGGATTAATAATAGAAACCAGGAAAAAAAAAGAGTACACTGATCACGACGATTAATTCCAGAATTAACTAAAAAGATAAAAGGAAAAACTTAAGGGGCAAAAACGGAAATTAAGAAAAAAGAAGGGGCCGAAACCGAAGAAGATTCTCCCGGCGGCGGTTTTGTTTTACCTTTTTCAAGAACTCGCCGCCGTCGGCGGAGTCGCCGGAATCTCCGGTTTTCTGCAGAGGATCATATGCATCGGCGAGAAGATGCCGGTTTCGCCTCCTCTGGTCAAATAATCAGCGGTCTTGAAGAGCATCTCGTGAACATCGACGGTTCCTTTCGGAGCTACTCCGATGGCGGACAGGATCTTCACGACAATGTGGTTTCTCCAGTACGCGATTCGACCCATCTTAAGCCTTGTCCACCACGGCTTCGCCGGCGGCGCCGCCAGATCGTTCTCCTTCACAATCTCGAAACCCACTTTCCTCGCTGTGGCGGCGATGTCGGAGAAGCTCCTCAGACCAGGCAAGGCATCTCCCCTCTCGATCCCTTGTATCACCTCCACGTGCTCCGGATTTTCCGACACGAACTTGTCCGTCGTCACCCACTCGTACGATACGTACATCGAGCCAGGCTTTAAGACCCTGAAGATCTCGGCGTAGACCTCCTCGAGGCTCGGAGCGTGGCAAGTGGCCTCGATCGAGTAGGCGCCGTCGAAGCTGTTGTCGGGAAACGGCATCTGGAGGAAGTTCCCGCAGACAACCTCGCAGAGGTCGTCGAGACCGGCCTTCTTGTTGTGGAGACGAGCCCTGTTCACCTGGTACTCGTTGATCGTGATCCCGACAACCTTAGCCCGAGAGTGAGCCGCGATGGCCCGCATCGGGCCTCCGACGCCGCAACCCACGTCGAGAATCTTGTCTCCTGACTTGACATCGATCAGATCTACGGCCATCTCCTCGTGGAGACGCGTAGCGTCGCGGTGGGACTTTCCCGGGATGGAGGGGGAGAAGTGGAAGGACTGTCCCCATCCCCACTCGTAGATGTCGGTGACGAGGTTGTAGAACGTGTCGACAAAGTCAGGGACCTTGTCGGTGGTCTCGATCTCCTTTGGTCGGCGGAAGAAAGACCAGTAGTTGTTGTAGTTGTCGCGGACCTTCTCGGAGGATATGGAGCCGCCGGAGAGATCGACGGCGCGTTTGCCCTTTTGCTCCGCCGGGCCAAGGAGGCAGACGAACCAGTAAAGACCGCCGGCGATGAGAGCGCCGGTGCAGAACAGTGCGACAGAGTCCATTGGAGAGAGAGATAGAGAATGATGAGACGTTGTGTTTTTACGCCTCTTTTCTTGTGACTGACTGTGAGATCCACTATGCAGTGGTTTTATATTGAATAAATCTTGCGAGAATATCTACTGGCATTGAAACTTTCTAAAATAGTTTATGAAAATATATTAAAACAAATCTAAATAAAGATTATTTATCCTAAGGGTGGAGAGAAAGTGACAAATGCACAAGAAATTATATCTTACATAATTAATCTTATAAATTATATAATATATAACACTAATTATTAACTTCTTCAGTAAAAATCAACTTATTAGTTTGAAATATCTAAATTTATTAATAGATCATAAACATTAGCAGATTTATATAGCAATTTGACAAAATAATTTAATTTTAAATATAAAATCCATATTGCGCAAATGATGATATATATAAATTATACAATTTTATATGTTTAAAGGATGATATATATATATAATTATACACTTTTATATATCAAAATAAAAACTTAATATTGATAAAAAAAAATTTAATATCACAATATATTACATTCGTATAAATATTTGTGATAGTTAGAATTATATAATTTAAATGGATGGATTTTTACTAAATTGGATCATTAATGGTTTTTTATTTAAAATAATAACTGATGATTTTCTTTAATAATAAATATAAAACAAAAGATTTTTGTAAGTCATATAGTTAGTGCTTTTTTATTTCTTAACAAAAACAAATGCAAAACAAAATAAACTAGTTTAAATTTTTTTTAAAAAAAAACTGACTCGTTTCAATTTGTCTCTAAGTTAAACTAAGTATATGCAAAATTTATTGAAATGAATTTAAAGGTTTTTACCGTAAAATTTAATTACAAATGTGAGAACGATTTGATTGAAATTTTAAATTTTTACTTAAAAAAAGGATAGAACAACAATTTTTTAATTTAAAACCTAGCGGAACAAAATATAGAATGATCACAGTTTTGCTTGGGCATATCTCTTGTAGGATTCCGTTTAATTAGCAGATATTTTTATAATGTAAAATATATTAACGGAGATAGTTGAAGATATTTTATTCTGAAATTAATTTTTGTAGTGGAAAAAAACCGAAATTAAAACACTTTTTTTTTTTATAAAATAAACTCCATATTTCAGAAATTAAAAAACACATTTAACACGGATTGTTTGTTAAGATACGTTTCTGAACATCAAATGTCGACATACTATAGATTTATTTACTTCAACAGATTATCATACTTTTTACTTTTATCCTTTGTTTACCAATATTGTGCAAACAGATTATTAAAACAATTTTACTTATTTTAATAATCGAATAGAAGTAGATAATATGTAACGTATTTAATTACACTACCATCTTAAAAATTGTAAGTTTTGTAAAATAAAATTAGTTAGATTTAATAAACAAATAAATATAAAATAACAAAACCAACTAAATATAAACTTAAAGTATTTTTCATAAAAAAATATAACTCAAATTAAATTAGAAGAAAATTAAAAATAAATCTAAAAATAAATAAACCATATAATTGAACTATAAATAGTTACCAATAATATTAATAACCTATGGTGGTAATCGTACCTTAACGATCTCTAAAAAAAACTTGGAAATACAATATTCTACGGATGGTTATAATTGAGAAAAATAAAATTGCATCGATAAATTGGTGCTTAACATACGATTTTAATTTGTGGACCGTCATCGAGGGAGGCACGTGGTGGGAGCAGATGACAACACATTCTCTCTAAAATTGAGCATAAAGACAATATTTTTTTATAATTATGATAACAAATTAACAGCAACATCAACATGTAAACATGTCTGTAATAATAATAATAATATACATCTCCATTACAAAATTGGTCCAAAAACATTTGGGGGCTAATTATATTTGATAGTTTATTTAAATATAATATAGTTAATGTAAAATAGATCTAATTATTAGCTGGTAGTTCGAGTGCTCAATTAGTGTTTAGTCATCCGTAATATTGACAAACAAATTATGCATCACACTTATATTTGAATCAAATCCGGACCAATATATAAAAGAATATAAATAAAATCTAACAAATCTAAGCGAAAATATTACCGATTATAGTTAGGAAAATATTTTTTAGGGACCAAATAAACCGACCATGGACTAGTCTTCAAAATCTTATTTTCAAATGTAAAATACGCTAAAAGGCAATGGAACCAAGAAGTGAACCCACGTGGAATCTTCGTTATATACTCTCATATACATATATATATATATGTTATATATATGTATATGTATATCATATGGGACTTTGGATCTACATTGGGTTTACTTAGTGTCCGGATCTGAGAGTGTCGTGTCCTTTTCTTCCTTGTCTTGAGACCTCTCCACCAAATATGCTTTTCCCATTCCTATCCTTGGATCTTTGAAATCTCTCTCTCTCTCTCTCTCTCTCTCTCTCTCTCTCTCTCTCTTATTTCTTTAAATCATTTTAAATTATTAAATCACGTGATATATTTTAAATTGTTATATTTTATTCTAAAGTTTATGAATATACCCCGTATTATTGGTATTGGCACATATGACTTCTCTTGTCTTGTTTTTGTCGTTGTCGTGCTAAACACAGAGGTATTGGGCCTACAAAAGGAAATATGGTATTGGGCTGAAGGCCCAATTATTTCTGATATGAGTTAAAAACCCGACCCATGGGCATCATTTGTGTCCATTGGGCTGAAGGCCCAATTATTATTAAATTCTCGTTTCGTTTTTTTAATCTTTTATATCTAACCCGAAGATATTAGAAATAAAAGCAAGTAATTACCAAAACAAGGTGATAATTTAGATTATATGAACATAGGATCTTGCTTGTCAATCCACAAAATGGGCCTGCATTGGGCCGAGAAGATCGTACATAGTTATCAACCCGTCAAAGCAAAAACGTCAAGGCGTTCGCTCCTCGACAAGACAAACGACCTCGCTACTCAAATTTAGCCCGCACCAATCCTGTCGTTTTGCGTTAATGCCCTAACACTCCGTCCTGTTCGTCCCGTCATCACTTCCATGCCTTAACCTCTCCCTGTACTCGTTCAACTCCCTTTGATACCTCTCCTTGTCCTTTAGCCCAATGTTCTGATAAACCTACACAAACCAAAAAAATCCGGTTTAACCGTCGGTCTACTTTAGTTTCTGGTCAAATCTTGGTTAACAGCTTTTCGTTACAACACCAAACCTACCAACCAACCAATCGGTTACCCCGTTCGGTAGAGAAAACCCAAGAACCAGAATACACCCATAAAACAGCGTAGACTTTCCGGTTTAGAACAAATTAAACCAACTGATTGGCTATTGATCCAATCGTTGTAACAATGTAAAAAATTAAAACAAGATTAGATCAAGAAATGTTACCATTCGTTCTTCGGGGGAGAGATTGCTCCACGATTCACCGATAATTTTCGTGAATTCTCGTTCTTTGTTCGGATACATCGACTTGAGCTTGCAATGTTTCTCGGCAAAGAAGAAATTGTAGCCACTTCGGTTCGGTTTCGGGTAATTCGGGTCTTCTCTTCGCCTGCTTCTACGTCTCTTTCCAAATCGCCGTCTTCTTCTTGAAGTTCCGTACGGTACAACTGTGCCGGTTAACTCGTTAACCGGAGATGGCGGACCGGACCGGGCAGGGTGGAAAAGCACTCCGTTTAGAATCTCAGAGCCCAATTTCACTTTTACCAAATAACCACAGTCAAATTTTCCTTCTATCGTTCCCGTGGCTGTAAAACACGACGAACCTGTATTTGTCGTATATTTCACGCGCAATTATCATATATTTTGTAACAAAAAAAAAACTTTATCTTCAAGGATATTTTGCATGTGTGAACCAAATTTTATAGCATTATTATTCATAAGAATTTCTATTTCGGTCCACAATTTCGGTTATCTAAAATCCAAATATAATTTGTCTACTACATATAATGGTGAGTGGGACCTTTATTAGAATATTTATGAAGACATTGAGATAAACACTAAATTTGTAGATTCACACGAGATTTCACGACAAGTACATAAAGCTAATATCAATCATGAAACCAACATTAAACGGTGCCCTAAATATAAGTTAAATAAAAAGATGCGCATTTATTAAAAGTATTTAACAATGAAAAAAATAATCAAATTAAAAAAAAAAATGAATGTGAACGAACCTTGACAAAGTGGCTTGGAATTATCTCTATTCCTCGGAGGAGCATATTCCACTAGAGCCAATTCTTTGCTTGTAGACTCCTTGGCATTAAACGTAGCTGCAAATGTTATGGATTAAATTACGTTATTAGTCAAATAATTTTCGAATTTCCAAGGAGTTATAACATATTAGACATCAAAATTATTATGGAAATTAAACAAAAAACGTGTAGAGAAGATCATTTAACTTGTCGTCCCACGTCGGTTCCAACTTCTAAGAATGTGGCCCACGACCCAACATTTCGGACTTTTATTACGACGATAATAATTGGGGGAAAATTGAACTTTTACAGCCATGACATTAATGGAAATCATACCAACGATTTTATTCAAAAATAACAAATGTTTTTTAATTATTAATTATCATTAAATTGCCTATAAGCCGACATGTAAATAAATAAATAAATAGAGAAAATTACCGGTGGGAATGAGAAGAGGGCCACGGACCCTAAAGAAGTGAAGTTGTTCGTAATGGAAGAGGAGATTAAGGTAGTGTTTTCTCAGGACAAAAGAAGCACTCGTTGTGGTCGGAGAGAATCTAAACACTCCACCGACTTCCCTCCATTTCTTCTCTGCGACTACCTTTGGTTTTTTTCAACATCGAAATCGCATATTCACACATATACTTACACGTATACACATATATGTCAAATGGGTATTTGAAAAAATGGCTAAAAATCCAATTTTTTAAAATGGGTATATCTTATTTTAAAGGGATGGAGTAAAAGTTTTGACCTTTTCGTAACCTCCCCTCCTTGTGACCTCCACGTACAATACATGCAAGTCCAATTCTTTTCCTCCAATTACAGGAATCCTTCAATAAAAATATGCGAAAAATGGTGAAATAAAAGTGTTGTAATAAACTAAAATAGGGATTAAATGAGGGGAAATTAAATAATTACATGAATTTTGTGCCCATAATGAAGTGGAATCGCCGGAGGGTGTCCCAAAACAGAGTGAGGTCCTTCACAGCGTCGTCGTGGGAGGCGAGCGGTTCTGGATACTCTGCTCTCTTCGTCGCCGGTGACGGTGACGGCGACGGTAACGGCGAAGGTGACGGTGACGGCGTTGTTTCGACGGCCGCCGGAGAAAACGACGTCGCTTCGTTTCGCGAAGACATCGTTCTGGGTCGGAGAGACTGCAAATTTTCTTCCTGTTGCCGTGTTTGTTCTTTTGTTTGGATTTTGTTTTGTTCCTTCTCTCCCTCTTTTGGTTATGGTTTAAGGAAAGAAGAGAAGAGGAAATTTAAAAGATAAAGATTTATGATTAAATCAAATGAAAATGAAATTGAAATATTAGGGATTATAAAGTAACGGACGGGAGAATTTGTCATTTTCTGTTAAAATTTTAATAGGTTGAATATTCAAATAAATAAATAGTAGTAATTGTGTGCTTTCAATTTTTTTTGTTTTTATTTTCGAGGTGTTTTTAATGATGATGCTTAGTAATTTGTCTAATGTGTATCAATTCTTCACAGGTTATTAATATTGAAATTATTGCTGCCCACCCACCTACTTATTTATTTTTAAGCTTGAATGCCTCAATTTTGAATTTTCTTATTATTTATTTCCCAACTAATTTTAATCTAAAACTCTCAAGTCTCTATATTTAATTTTTTTAGTATCCGTTTGTAAAAATTTATATGAAGGAAAAATCCATATGAGGATTTTTTTCGGTAACATATGATCTTTTACAAAATATGGGTTATCTCTACTTCTTCGGATATTCACATTTTTTATCATAAGTTTTTTTTTACAAACTCGGGATTTATTTATTATTATCTTCCTGAAGAATATATATATATATATATATATATATTAGCTTTAACCAAAAAAAAAAGAAGAATATATATTAGGTTTTCTGTAAATTCGGATCATTCTTGGGTATATATTGCGAAAGTAAAATTCAAATTTCATGATGATTTAATCTGACATTGTTAAGTCTAATCACTTTATTTTTTTTTTATGAAAAACGATATTGGAAATGTCGTAATCAACCTTATACATTAAAGAAAAAAATTGATACCCACATTAACATTGCATTCTTGAGATAAATATGTTTTGGAAAAATAAATAGAGAAAACAGAAAAGCCAATGAGTTATCCCGTGGGTGATATTACGACTCATGGGGTCATTCGAAGTCTGACATACCATTACCCCAAAAATAAAATAAAATAATAATTAAACCTAATATGATTAAAATTTAAAATATTGTAATTGGAGGGTTTAGGGTTCCGAGGGAGAGGTTGACGTGCGTTTACGGTTTTTATGGCTCTGCACTTATGTAACGTCACCTCTCTGCCCCCTATCTTCACCTCCACGTCTCTTCTTCCACTTTTCCTTTTTTTTTTCCCTTTGTTCTTTTGATTTTTTTTTTTTCAGAGATTGAAATTTTGTTAAAAAAGAATATCATATTGTGCAGCTGATTTAAAAAAATAATAAAAGTATCTAGAATTTGATGTTTCGAATGTGTTCACTTATTACATTTGAATTCGTTCACTTTTTTTTTTCTATTCAAAATTATTGATTTTTTATATTACATTATATTTTGTTCTACTTGGCCTTTAAAAAATTATTTTTAAAATTTTTAATTCAAATATTTTGTTTTTGTTATTTTCATTTTGAATTTACTTAAAAAAAATTATATTTTATTCTCGCTCCTAAATAAATTCATGATTGTGTATGAACATATGATTAATCATGTTGGATTTAATTTGAAAAATCTTTAAATATAGCTCAATAAATTTTCCACGCCTTTTATGGAGACACATACATAAAATTGGGTCATTGCTATCTAAGCTTAGATCATATAGGGTAAGACAACATATAAAACATTTTCTTGTTCTAAGTTCAAATTCAGACGTGAGAAAGAGTATTTACCCAAAATTCCTCGATTCTCTAACATATATAGTTGCATTAGGATAACAACACCATGCAATGGGGGAATTCCCCAACTTTGTTGGTTTGAGAGCCCCTTTCCTGTAAACGAGGTCGTGGGTTCAACACCCAGAGTATGGAGATTCTCCTCCTGCCACCTTCGGGTGTTTCACATCTCACGTGTGTGTTGTAGGGTCGTGTGCGTGGGTTGGGATTAGTCTGGGCTTTTGGTTCTAGGATGGGCCTTTGGGCCTAGGATACCCGGTTACCTAAAAAAAACATCATGCAATGAAAATATAATTTAATCAAAATTAATTTCACTAGACTCAAATAATATCACAAATTGTGATGGGGTTTAATCGTTTCAACATCATCACTCCATTCATCGTGTATTTATGATTCTTGAACTTCTCTCAGTTCAATTCTATTTATGCTAATTCATTTGTAAACAAACTTCTGTTTATACATCATACAAAATACTTAGACGTGGTAATGTCAAGATAAATACGATCGTCGGTCGTCTTTTGATCTCGATAAAGCTCGCTTCACACTCCATTCCAGTGTCCAATCAAACCGCATGTTTTTCCACTTTAGTTTTGTCATTGATTTCGCCAATTTAGTAAGATCATCACTGAAATGACAGTAATAGTATACTAATCCTATAAAACTATGAATCTTTGTCGCTGATAGTGATCTTCCACTCAATGATATCCTCAATCTTTGTCTAATCAACCTGAATCTCTTGCTTGAGACTATATGACCAAAAAATCCAATCTCCTGTAACTAGAAATTGTACTTGATGAACTGGGAGCGCAACTTGTTGTCTCTCATTCGCCACATTATCTTACGCAACTATTCCTCGTGTGTATGTTGATCAGGAGAGTAAATCAATAAATTGTCAATCAATATGACAATGAACTCATCGAGATATTCCATTAAAACCATATTCATCAGGTGTACGAATATTGATGGGGCATTCATCAATCCGAACACTATCACTTCAAACTTGAAGTGGTTATATCGCATTCGTAAAGTTGTCTTCTAAATGTTATTAGTTTTCACTAGGATATGATGATATCTTAAACGCATATCACTTTTTGAAAACTATTTCGCTCCTTAAAATTGATAAAGTAACTCATCAATTCTCGACAACATATACCCAGTTACCGGGTTAACCCCTCTGTACTCAATATACCGTCTTTCTTCTTCATAAATAACACTAGTGTTGTCCAAGGTGAAACAATCGATCGAATGAATATTTTCTCCATCAATTCATTGAGATGCTTCATCGAGGCAAAATATTGGTGATCAATAACCATTTCTATTCGTCTCGTGGTTTTAAACTTACTGGTGATTTGGCTCGTCTACACCATGTTTGACTCCATTTTGGTTTGTTTCGATTTGGTTCGGATTGTTTCTAGGACTGGTTAGGCCCGGACTAGGTGTCGGTCACTTCCAAGTTCGTTCTGCTAGGGCCTGAACAAGTTTTTGGAACTATTCTCACTTCAGTCACCCAATCTGGATCGGATTGAAAGTGGTTCGGGTCAAACTAGAGTTTTTTATTATTATTTTTGTTTGCATCTGAATCCAGTCCGAATGATCAATTCTGGGTAGTGCGAACCATAATTTATTTTGCTCACAAATTACGAAATCTAGTCTAGTGCTGATAAAAAATGGTCTGGTTTGGACCAGAAACTTGAACACATAACAATGGTGATATTTAAGCTCAATCCATCCAAATCAAGGCTGGTGGACTCTGGATTGAAATTCAAAATTCTTGAAAACATGTAAAACTTATCGAAAATTGATAGGTTCAAGCTCGGACATCACCAAATTTTAAAAAGAAATAACATTAGTGTGTGTTTCGGGATTCAGTTTAGAATTTTAACGGTTTAGTTCGGGAACGATTTATTCGTTATTATAAAATTTATATCAAATTAATATTGTGTGTTATTCGGTTCGATTCGATTCGATATTGATATCGATTAAGTAGATATAATTTTACTAAATAAATATCAAATAAAAACTAGAATCATAACGGTACGGATTGTTTCGGAAGGTTCAGATTTTTTATTTGACGGTTAGGAATGTTAAATACAATTTAATTTTATTTTGAAAATTTTAACATAAAAAACAAATAAATTAATAAAATGTTAATGGATTTCCATGTTACACAACATGAATATGATTGATAAATATTACTATTTAATATTTAATATTAATGTTGAGCAAATTAAAACTTCATAGTGACATTTTTCTCTTATATCTCTATTTCATTGTAAAGCTCTTGTTTTGTTTGTTTTTCTTTCTGTTTCTCAATCAAAGGAACAATACATTTGTTTTGACACATTTTTTAAGCTAAATACTCAAAAAGTTTTTTTTTCTACAAAAAAATCACCGTAAAATATTAACGGGTTTTCGGTTCCACGATTATGTGTTCGTGTTCATTCCGGTTCCACCGATCGAGCTCAATCCATCGTCGACCCGAGCGATGGGGCCTAGTCGTACGGCCTAGTGCATAGGCTTGCCCATTTCGAACTCGGCTCCGTTACTGGTCATGGCAAATCCCGTCCCTTTCAAAACCCCAACGACGGACGGTGTTTTATCTCTACGACGCCGTTTTCGGCTTTTCAGACAAATCACTGAAACTGAACTGGGCCCGATTTTAATTTGGGCCTTTTGTTTTCAACTTCTCACACGAGAATTACTACTACGTATTGGTGTGCTCCTATGAAACTTCATGTACGTAAACCCTTGTCACAGTTTTGGTAACCTGTATATATACGTATATGTATATATATATATATATATGTATACGCATGTGTGTTTCCGCATTGATCTTTCCTCGGAGCTCTGGTTAGGGTTTTCAGAGTTTTGTTTGCTCTTTTATTGAGGCAAAAAATCAAGAATCGAATCAATTCCATGCATCCGTTTTCCATGATTTAAGTTAGCAATCAGTAGGCTTTTTATTATACTACTGTGCTTAGCTTGGTTTTCGCTCAATAATAAATATTTTTTATTTATGGATTATTTCAATTACCAAAAAAAAAAACTCTGTTTTCTGAATTTTCTCTAGAATTTCAAAACTTTTCATTCGCATTGACTTTAACGAGGTTCTATAAATTCCCGTCGATAATTTTTACGAAAGAAAGCTTCGTTTCACGCTCTAATCCCGGCCATTCCATTTATAGAAAGTTGGTGACAAATGGGTTGTATTGATTGCTTCAATAATTCAGAGGTTGTATGGTGAATAATATGATAATATATGGGGCAAAAACGAAGCGATTCTTTCTCCTCTCCTGTTTTTAGATTTTGCACATGAGCCCCTACTTTTTGAATCTTTCGAAGAAGAACCGTT